ATTTTTGGAGTGTTAAAATGTTTTAGATAAATTACGTGCTTTTGATGGTTTTTTTGATACTGTTGACGGTTTTGACTTTTCAACTCATTACATTACAATTTCCACACAATTAAATGGTCGTTTGGTAAATCTGAATGCAAATTTATTTGCTGCAACCCATTTAAAGCCTTCTCTACGGAGAAGGGTAAATATGCTAGATATACTTACTGGAGGTGTGATGAGATGATTGAAGCTGTTATTTTTCTCCTTGATAATATTTATGTACGTTTCGGCAACAAAGTTTATCGACAGGTTGTAGGTATTCCTATGGGCACTAATTGCGCCCCTTTAATAGCAGACTTGTTTTTGTACTGTTATGAATTACAGTTTATGACCAATTTCAGTAAAGACCCGTCTAAATTGCATTTAATTGATAAATTCAACAACACTTACCGTTATCTTGATGATATTTTTGCGTTAAATAATCAAGAATTTTCTAAATATACTGCCGAAATTTACCCAAAGGAACTTACTTTAAATAAATCAAATGTAAACGGTAATAACTGTCTTATCCTAGATTTATATATTTCTGTTTTACACGGAAAACTCCACACTGAAATGTACGACAAAAGGGACGATTCTTCGTTCCTTATTGTTAATTTTCCTTTTTTTAATGGTGATGTTCCTTTGACACCATCTTACGGTGTTTATATATCACAACTCGTTCGCTATGCCCGTCTGTTGTGACGTTTTGGATTTTAATGAACGTAATCTATGTATTACTGGTAAATTATTAAGTCAAGGATTTCGTTACCACAAATTACCTAAACCTTTTACTAAATTCTTCCATAGATATAAAGATTTGGTTTTGAAGTTTGGTTGTACCTGTAGAAAACCTATTTCTAACGGGATAGCACATCCTCATTTTTACGGAGATTTAGAAACGATCCTGGTAAACTTATCGATCCTTTAAATAAACTAATTCTAAAAGGTTACCAATTCAACACTGTAATTAGATCTTTGAATATTGTTTTTATTGGTATTAATATAGATTTTGTTATCAGTTAATTAAAAGCAAACTAAATATTATTGTTGTGTACATATGCACATTCATGGATCTACAATCTGTCGGTACCTGTAAAGTGGCATTGCACAAGGTCATGTTTTTCTCTGACTATTTATGACGTCTTTCCTCTAAAGCCATTGGATGTTGGATGTGTAATGATTGATAATTTAGTCTTAGATGCATGATTTTTTATTAGTTGTTATTGGCTTTGAACAAGCTGTCAGTAACTGCGAGTACTCTCAGATCTGTAGTGTCTTTTTGTTGTTGAGATGTACCCGGCCACGTCCACTCTGTGTTTTTGTTAGATGTATTTCTATTTTTATCCATTTGATGAGTTAAGCCTTTTTCAACTGATTAGTAGAGATCGTTCTTATGTTGTACCGTTACACCACTGTCCCAGGTTAGGGGAGGGTTGGGATCCCACTAACATGTTTAACCCCGCAACATTCTGTATGTATGTGCCTGTCCCAACTCAGGAGCCTGTAATTCAATTATGTGTTACATATTTGTTTTTCGTTCATTTTTTTGTACATAAATTAGGCCGTTAGTTTTCTAGTTTTAATTGTTTTACATTTGTCATTTCGGGGCCTTTTATAGCTGACTATGCGGTATGGGCTTTGCTTATTGTTGAAAGCCGTACGGTGACCTATAGTTGTTAATTTCTGTGTCATTTGGTCTTTTGTGAAAAGTTGTCTCATTGGTAATCATACCACATCTTCTTTTTTATAAATAACACAAAATTGACAGTATAAACAACACGGGTCCTTTCTCATCAAAACTAGGGGTCAACGAATGTGTTCCAGAAGGTTGTGTAGATTCTTGCCAACTATTAGCACCAGTGGTGCTACTCATTGCAAGTAGAAAATCGGTGAGTCGTACTTATTGATCATCTTGATCTACAGTCGAGGAAAAAGAAAGGATTGTGGCAACGAGAAGTGGAAGATATAAAGTATCATTTGTGAATCAGAAGATACACACTCAAAAAAATCCTAAAGACGTCCTAAAACGTTCGAATGTTTCCACTTATGGGATATTTGATTAAATTGTCTTGCAAGCAGTATCGATGTATCATGGAAACACAATCCCTAGAATATCGTATGAACTGCAAAGTGCAATTCGATGAAAGAAATGTTTAGTTCATTGTCACATTTTGGCGGCCATTTTTGACTTTTCCGCCATTTAAAAAAAAATTTTGAAGTCTAATATACCGCCATGACTTACTTGAAACGTAAATTTACATTTTATATGTTTTTAAAAGATTTGATTGAATATTATTTGCTGTAATCTATTCATGGTGGTGAAATTTTGACTGATTGGCAGCTATCTTGAAAATAGCCGCCATATTGGATTTTTCAGAGTGGGTCCATAGCTTATATTGACTACCATATATATAGATCTACAATTGTGCAAAGTTTCATGCTTTTATCATCAAACCCACAATTCTTCAAAAAATATGCACGAATCGGCTGGATATCATGCCTTAAAATATTAGCAGCGGTGTGTAAAATTTGTTTTTCACTTATTGTATTTTTGAAATATCTAATTTCTAAATCTAACTGTGCCATCTAAAGTTCATTTGTAAGCTGACCTACAGCTTTGATGGCATTGCCTATAGATATGGAGTTACTGAATACGATGTGCGATTTACCCAGACCTTGTTGTGGTTGAATGATAATCAAATCGACGAAATAAGTCGACAACCTTTTTTGCAAGGTATACGTTGTGTATTTGTCGGCGTACTCCTTTGGAAGCAAGGCAAGAAATTTTTCAAGTAAGGTTAACATCATTTAAGCCTTAACAATCAGTTCCAAATTGCGTTATGGCATTTAAATTTAGAAAGGGAGAAATATCTGACACAAACTTTCACTTCCTATGATGTACGTTAATATATGTATTTTGAACATGTTTATGCTTCATATGGAAAAAAGGGAAATAAAATTTCAGTCTGTATTAGTAAATTGTTGTAAATTTATTGTTATGAAACTTCACCTTATGAATCAATATTTACATCAGCACAAATTTAAAAAGGACAATTAACAAAACACGTGTTGCCCTTGTTAAGGATTATATGCCATACAGCATAGGCCACACAAAAAAACTGATCGGCCAGTAACAAGTTTTGTAAAATGATTTAATTTTAAACACAATTGTAAGACTAAATAGGGAAATGTTCAAGACTTTAATGGTGTTTAACCAAAATATGGGGCTGGACTAAATGGTGCCTTACAAAAAAACGTCATTACAGTATATTATAGAGTTCCTCTTCCTGACCATATGTTGACAAAATAACATAATGTTATGATATAAAATCTAGGGAAAATTACCTACTAAGTGTACAAAATCAGAATATAAGACAGAGAGTTGCAGGACAAAAATCCACAAAATTTACAGTTTTGTGATAATTTTCCTTGAATAAAAAAACACATGTTTTTTTTCTCGAGATTCATAAAAAAAAAAGGTTTTCTTACAACAGTGCGACATAAGTATTATGTTAACATAAAAAGCTCGTGTTTCCCCCTGGAAAAAGAGATGGTGCATAAATTTTCAGAACATTTATGGCAAGTACCATGAGCTATGGTTAGATAATTTTTTGACTGGGGAGGAAGGAGGGGGTACTTTTTCTGGTTCACAGGTAATTTATGCTTTGAAAGTATTTCCGTTTATAATAAATTGTATGCTATCAAATGATTTTTTAGTCGCGAATTGCTCTGATCAGCACTTGTTCTCTGAACGTTTACGGACGAATTAAAAAACTAACTTTACAGACACATCACCTTTTATTGACATACATATTCGCTGAACCTTGTCGAGTGTAATACAAGTTCGAAACTACTTTATAAGCTACCAAAATGAAGGTCGTTTTCTATAATTTCTCATCTCTATGTTAGTATTCATGAAAAGCGGTCCACGTGTTCGATTATTATGTTTATTTGGAAATGTCTCTTCTCCGACGAAGAAAACATTTTGCCTATTCCAAAACGGATGTGCATTTGCATTTGTATTTGCAACAGTGAAACATGCAACAATAAACTTTATAAAGTTATAAAAATGCAGTTTTGAATTATTCCACTCATCTTCAAAGTGTCTAATTAAAATTGATTAATTGTAATAATCCAAATTAATTGAATTGGTTAACTACGACAATGAGAATGACTTACGATATCATTGCGCAACAAACTGCGCAGAACGAGTATTTTTTTTCTGGGGGGAATGTGATTTTTTGTTGAAATAATGGAGCAATTTGTTTTTAAAATTTTTTTTTTTTTTTGTTAAATTGTTTTGTTTTTATTAATGTTTAAGGCTAGACCAATCGTATTTAGGTAGTTTTTTTCATACAAAATAACACATAACTGGAAATAGCTTTAAATATTGATTTAATTCAATTTTTACAAAAGTACAATTCTCTTAGTGTTGTCAGATAATTGAATTGTGTTTAGCTGCCTAAAAGTTTGCAATGTTTTGTGCACTTCAACTAATTTGTATGATAAAAAAGGATTTAATAAATAATACACTAGTATCAAAACGTATCAGACATTTTGCTAGAATACATTGCTTTGTTTTCTCTAAAAGTCAGGTAAAATGTTTATCTGATTAAAAGATCCAATTGGAAAGGACTTTAAATGTACAATGTGTTTTGTAATCTTTAAATAAGAATGTATAGGTACTGTGTTTACAAATAATTTATTGTTTATTTTTCATTAGATTTAAACATAGCTTATTACCGCTGAAAGCAGACATTTTCTGATGCAGCATTAATTCATCCCGTAATTCAAAGGGATTTAAAGTTAGAGAGCAGAATTTTGTTTAAGGACTTTAAGAACTAATTGAACTAACATTTGTTTGACTGATGCATTTTCTCTGCTGTTTGCTTAACTTTCATGCACGTTATTTTCGAAATACAATATGATGCAATGTAAAAGATTATTTTTAATATTACTCTTAATAAAATTATTAGATGGATCTACTATAGTACAAAATCAAGTTATGCATTGCACAGGGTGACTTTTGACGGAAACGAAAAACGGATAGTAATGAAACTGACAGCATTGGCGATAGATATAGAAATAGGTATGTCATCAATAGATTAATTAAAAACATTATCAATATCGTATTGTGTCTGTTTAAGAAAATGTATTTTTGTAAAACTTAAACACTTATATTTAGAAATGCACAACGAATGAAAGTATACGGTGAAACGACCTAACAGATCATAAAATAATTATCAGAAATTTGATGTTTAAAATTTGATCTAGTTTGATAGCCATATATTTGGACTGAGTTGAATTATTATAAATAAGGAAATTATGAATATCATGATAAACATGTTGCTTTTATTTAAATTTTAACTTAGACGTATCTGTAAAATATTTACTATGTTGAACAGTAAAAGAGAGATAGAGTTCAAAGCCGTCGATGATGAATTAAAAGTTAAAAACTACATTTATCTAGAAACACGATTTCTCGGAACAAAGTATGCATGCATGATAGTCATTAAAATGATTTGTTAAAAAACTAAAAGCCCATTCAGATCCACTATCAAGCAAATAGATATTCGTTTATCATACCGACACATTCGCAAAATGAACATAATGCACAATTTGGCAGGAATGTAGTAAAGGTGATTTTTTTTTGATGTACGTTACTTTTTCATCATGAATGTTTGATATCAGGTTGTTATTCCAGATTTTGTTGACAAGCGAGTTTATTGGATCGAATATGAAAAGGGGGACTTAAAATCTGCTTTGTATAATGGGTCTGATGTTAAAACAGTGGTTAGCACAAATGTAAATTTAAATAGCCGAGAAATTGATATTGGAGGTGAATACGTTTTCTACACAAGTTCTAATACAATTTTAAAGATACACAAATCTTCAGGACAAATCCCAACTGTTGTGCACACAGACACAAGACAGATCTATGGACTTTTGTTTTATAAACAAGAAGGTCAGAATATATTGACATTATAATAGCAATTACATGTGTAAAACATATTTTACGGTAAATTATTATAATCATCGCCACATGCACAACTTAACAATCAACCTTGCAAAATTTAAAATTTTAACTCAGCGTACATTTCTAAAATTTCAAAAATGACGTGGGTTAGGTATTTACTTCAGAGACTGCATATATATGCTGCGCGAATTAGTTAGAACTACACCATATCATTGATCCGATTTGGTGCCAAAGTTTTTAATTTTCTTATCCAAAATCTTTCCCGAACGAGTCTATTCTCCCTATACCAAGCAATGTTGTTGTCTATGATTGTAATGTTCAGTCGATTGAGATCTGCACTAGTGTGGCCAGGGGATTTTAAATTTCGACTGAGAGGAAGGTCTGGCTTGCATTTCATTTGGGTTATATAACATTCTAACATTACGTTCTTCAACCGCTTTGAGTACACACCCGTGGTAAAATATGAATATATTGTTTGGGCTGTTCCGATCGTACTCCCACGTCATATGCTTTTTTATGAATGAGCTACTCGACGTCATAGAACGATGACGTAAGAATATAAGCATTTTACGGGAAAATACACGCTTGTGAGACCGAAAATCATCACAACAAGGAAACGTAAACAAATGATGCTAAAATGTGTTACATAAGCCATTTTTTGTATACATATAAGACATATAAGTACAATTATCATTTAATTTCTGTTGTAAATACCCAACCTACGTCATTTTTTTTTTATTGTAGAATTGTACAAGAGTTGTTGTGTTCGGTTTTAATTGTATAAATTTAAAATTGTTATAGTTATATCAGAATAGATTGATTTGATTCATTTTACATCATAATCATACTGATGAAGGATATATGTTATCCGAAATATTTATAAATAATTACATTTAATTTTTTCCTTTTTTTTAATATTGGTGTTGTTTTGTACACTTTTAGGCGTTTATATAATTTATTTATTGTGTACATGTATCGTTACTCTTAACGATCAAGCGCCCTATGAAGAAAGATCGTTGACTAATATCCAGACGTTTTGAATTATATATATATATAACAAGTCTAAAAGGGTACAACATCACCAAAAAATAATAATAAAATGAACAAATGTTAAATAGCCAACGATAAATCTTACGGGGCGATGGATCATATAATTATGATACAGTACACTACAAAATATAATATATAACAAGTCTAAAAGGGTACAACATCACCAAAAAATAATAATAAAATGAAATTTTAATGTGTGTATTGTTATGCGTTTACTTTTCTACATTGGCTAGAGGTATAGGGGGAGGGTTGAGATCTCATAAACATGTTTAACCCCGCCGCATTTTTGCGCCTGTCCCAAGTCAGGAGCCTCTAGCCTTTGTTAGTCTTGTATTATTTTTAATTTTAGTTTCTTGTGTACAATTTGGAGTTTAGTATGGCGTTCATTATCACTGAACTAGTATATATATTTGTTTAGGGGCCAGCTGAAGGACGCCTCCGGGTGCGGGAATTTCTCGCTGCATTGAAGACCTGTTGGTGACCTTCTGCTGTTGTCTGTTCTATGGTCGGGTTGTTATCTCTTTGACACATTCCCCATTTCCATTCTCAATTTTAAATGTTAAATAGCCAACGATAAATCTTACGGGGCGATTGATCATATAATTATGATACAGTACACTACAAAATATAATATATAACAAGTCTAAAAGGGTACAACATCACCAAAAAATAATAATAAAATGAACAAATGATTAATAGCCAACGATAAATCTTACGGGGCGATGGATCATATAATTATGATACAGTACACTACAAAATATAATATATAACAAGTCTAAAGGGGTACAACATCACCAAAAAATAATAATAAAATGAACAAATGTTATATATTCTCTGAATATCAGCACAACAATGTTTAATCTGTAAATTTGCGGAAGCAAATTTTCGTCTTCCTTCATGACAAAGAAAAGTAAGACATTGCTGTTGTCGTTTGTATGTTATATATTTTTCATTACGATCAACTGAATCAAAGTCGATAAAGTTTCTGAGACGGCTTCTTCTTTAACAATTAAACCTCTTTCTTCAAAAGCTATGTCGTAAAAAGATTAAAATGATATATTGTCTTACTAGCTGTTATCCGATGCTTGTGGTCAAGCATTGTTTTGCTGATATTTAGAGTAGTTATGTATATATATATATATTTTCGTTTATATTTTTTCGTTTGGGCTTGTATTATATTTGCCTTCGGGTTTATATGATCCGTTCATCCTATTCCGACTCTTCAAAATGCAAGAGTCTATCCTAAATTGAGGTAAATTATATGGCCTTCCAAATACCGTTTCGATTCCTAACATCACTGAAGAGACATTAATTGTCGAAATCCGGATATGGTGTACTAATTTTTGCACCTTTTGTTTGAGGTATACCATCTTTTCCGCAAGTTTATTGTTTTCTGTTTGGTATTAAATTAATAGTTAAGATCCATTTTGTTACATCTGGTGATCCGTTTATGTGGCAATCGCCAATGGCAGTCAGCAGGGTCTAAGAACATCCGTTTGTCGACCTGCTAGTCAAATGCGTTTTGTTAAAATATACTTTTTCACTTTTTTTGGTCTTTTGGAAAATGTTGTTTGTGCTGTATTTAAACCCCTCTACCAAGAAATTTGTTTTGCATGCACACGTATAAAAAATTGCGGTTTTTATCCAACGCAATCATAGGCTTGAACGTTGTTTTCAATTTAGACTTGTTTATATATATCTATATATATAGCTATGGAAAGCTGACAGTCTTAAGTAATGTGTAATGCTACAACTGCATTTCTGAATTTTAAAAGGTGTAAATGTTAAACCTCTTGCACAGTATTAAGCACATACTGGCAAAAGTGTGTATGACAACAAGCACGTGAGCTGCACGATATATCATACACATAGAAGTCAGATTATGTGCGAGGGATAATAAAAACGTCTTCGAAGTATGGATCAGTAGATAAATACTATGTTATCTCTTTTGTGTGTTTTTTCTACAGATATTCCAATTGTTACAGTTACACATAATGCATATAACAGAACGTATGGATACAATGTGACTCTAGAATGCATGATCGATTCTTATCCAAACCATACCAATGTATACTGGCAACATATATATAATGAAACAGTTTTAAATATAACATCCGATAGTCCTGGTGTGTATGGCTCAACGGTGACAGACCCGTCATTGACTATATTGCAGGTTACTTTGGAAGGATCCGGACAATACATATGCTTTGCTGTAAATGTTGTTGGAACTGGAAAGAGTGAACCAACCACTTTGGCCGTTTTCGGAGGTATGAATTTAAATTATTCTAATAGAAACGACAAAAAGTGTGAGAAACGTTTAAAAAGGTCACTTTTTTACTATTCGTTTTTAGGGCCCTTTAAAGCTTGCTGTTCGGTGTGAGCCAAGGCTCCGTATTGATAGCCGTACTTTGACCTATAATGGTTTACTTTAATTTACAAATTGTGACTTGGATGGAGAGTTGTCTCATTGGCGCTAATACTACATTTTCTTATATCTATTGACTTATACAATCCATTTCTCTTTTTACTAGTTTGTTGTGTTAACAAAGGATAAACAGTGATATCTTTTATGTCTTTCACCATGAACAAAAGAGAAAAATCGACGAAAGACAGACAACACAAACGGCTAAAAGACAAAAAATGGAAAGACAAATTCCAGTTCATCAAGCTGTAGATTGAAAACTAAAGCTTAAGCAACACATACCCCACTTAACTCATGAGTGATGCGGCGTTCAAAAAGGATCACAAGTTCCTTTTTCCTCTTAGGGGCATCTGTAACGTGAATATTTCAATTATAAATGAATATAACAATCGCAATTAAATTTACGTACAGTGTAAATGACAAAGAAAAGTAAGACATTGCTGTTGTCGTTTGTATGTTATATATTTTTCATTACGATCAACTGAATCAAAGTCGATAAAGTTTCTGAGACGGCTTCTTCTTTAACAATTAAACCTCTTTCTTCAAAAGCTATGTCGTAAAAAGATTAAAATGATATATTGTCTTACTAGCTGTTATCCGATGCTTGTGGTCAAGCATTGTTTTGCTGATATTTAGAGTAGTTATGTATATATATATATATTTTCGTTTATATTTTTTCGTTTGGGCTTGTATTATATTTGCCTTCGGGTTTATATGATCCGTTCATCCTATTCCGACTCTTCAAAATGCAAGAGTCTATCCTAAATTGAGGTAAATTATATGGCCTTCCAAATACCGTTTCGATTCCTAACATCACCGAAGAGACATTAATTGTCGAAATCCGGATATGGTGTACTAATTTTTGCACCTTTTGTTTGAGGTATACCATCTTTTCCGCAAGTTTATTGTTTTCTGTTTGGTATTAAATTAATAATTAAGATCCATTTTGTTACATCGGGTGATCCGTTTATTTGGCAATCGCTAATGGCAGTGAGCAGGGTTTTAAGAACATTCGTTGTTCGACCTGCTAGTCAAATGCGTTTTGTTTAATGTAGTTTTGATGTAATAAATGGATCTCCCACATCTTCTTATATCTACTTAATGTTGAATTTAATACTAAACAGAAAACAATAAAACTTGCGGAAAAGATGATATACCGCAAACAAAATGTGCAAATTTTTTTGTACACCATATCCGGATTTGGACAAATAATGTCTCTTTAGTGATGTTAGGAATCGAAACGGTATTTCGAAAGCCCAACAATTAACATCAATTTAGGATAGACTCTTGAATTTTGAGGAGTCACAATAGGATGAACGGATCATATAAACCCTAAGGCAAATATAATACAAGCTAAAACGAAATAATATAAACAAGTCTAAATTGAAAGCAACGTAAAAACCTATGATTGCGTTGGATAAAAACCGCAATTTTTATACGTGTGTATGCAAAACAAATGTCTTTTTAGAGGAGTCTAAATACAGCACAAACAACATTTTCCAATAGACCAAAAAAGTGAAAAAGTATATTTTAACAAAACACATTTGACTAACAGGTCGAACAACAAATGTTCTTAAACCCTGCTGACTGCCATTGGCGATTGCCAAATAAACGGATCACCGATGTAATAAATGGATCTTAATTTCAAATTTAATACTAAAAAGAAAACAATAAACTTGCGGAAAAGATGATATACCGCAAACAAAAGGTGCAAAGGTTTTTGTACACCATATCCGGATTTCGACAAATAATGTCTCTTTAGTGATGTTAGGAATCGAAACGGTATTTGGAAAGCCCAACAATTAACCTCAATTTAGGATAGACTCTTGAACTTGAGGAGTCAAAATAGGATGAACGGATCATATAAGCCCTAAGGCAAATATAATACAAGCTAAAACGAAATAATATAAACAAGTCTAAATTGAAACCAACGTTAAAACCTATGATTGCGTTGGATAAAAACCGCAATTTTTATACATGTGCATGCAAAACAAATGTCTTGTTAGAGGAGTCCAAATACAGCACAAACAACATTTTCCAATAGACCAAAAAAGTGAAAAAGTTTATTTTAACAAAACGCATTTGACTAACAGGTCGAACAACAAATGTTTTTAAACCCTGCTGAATGCCATTGGCGATTGCCAAATAACGGATCACCGATGTAATAAATGGATCTTAATTTTAAATTCGAAACGGTATTTGGAAAGCCCAACAATTTAATAGGATGAACGGATCATATAATCCCTAAGGCAAAAATAATTCAAGCCCAAACGAAAAATTATAAACAAGTCTAAATTGAAACAACGTTCATAAATATAAATATAGCTATGGCAACCTGACAGTCTTAAGTAATGTGTAATGCTACAACTGCATTTCTGAATTTTAAAAGGTGTAAATGCTATACCTCTTGTACAGTGTTTAGCACCTAAACATGCTAAAGAACATATGCATGTACGCAACAGTAACAAGTGGCAAAGATAGTAAAGAATGAAACTGGCAAAAGTGTGTATGACAACAAGCACGTGAGCTGCACGATATATCATACACATAGAAGTCAAATTATGTGCGAGGGATAATAAAAACGTCTTCTAAGTATGGATCAGTAGATAAGTACTATGTTATCTCTTTTGTATGTTTTTCTACAGATATTCCAATTGTTACAATTAAACATGATGTATATAACAGAACGTATGGATACAATGTGACTCTAGAATGCATGATCGATTCTTATCCAAACCATACCAATGTATACTGGCAACATATATATAATGAAACAGTTTTAAATATAACATCCGATAGTCCTGGTGTGTATGGCTCAACGGTGACAAACCCGTCATTGACTATTTTGCAGGTTAGTTCGGAAGAATCCGGACAATACATATGCTTTGCTGTAAATATTGTTGGAACTGGAAAGAGTGTACCAACCACTTTGACCGTTTTAGGAGGTATGAATTTAAATTATTCTAATAGAAACGAAAAGTTTGAGAAACGTTTAAAAAGGTCAATTTTACACTAGTCATTTTTAGGGCCCTTTAAAGCTTGCTGTTCGGTGTGAGCCAATGCTCCGTGTTGATGGCCGTACTTTGATCTATAATGGTTAACTTTTACAAATTGTGACTTGGATGGAGAGTTGTCTCATTGGCGCTAATACCACTTTTTCTAATATCTATAAACTTATACAATCCATTTCTGTTTTAACTGGTTTGTTGTGTTAACGAAGGATAAACAGTGATATTTTTTATATCTTTCACCATGAACAAAAGAGAAAAGTCGACGAAAGACAGACAACACAAACGGCCAAAAGACAAAGAATGGAAAGAAAAATTCCAGTTCATCAAGCTGTAGATTGAAAACTAAAGGTTAAGCAACACACATCCCACTTAACTCATGAGTGTTGCCGCGTTCAAAAAGAATCACCAGTTCCTTTTCCCCTCAGGGGTATCTGTAACGTGAATATTTCAATTATAAATGAATATAACAATCGCAATAAATTTTACGTACAGTGTAAATGACAAAGAAAAGTAAGACATTGCTGTTGTCGTTTGTATGTTATATATTTTTCATTACGGTCAACTGAATAAAAGTCGATAAAATTTCTGAGACGGCTTATCTTTAACAATTAAACGTCTTTGTTCAAAAGCTATGTCGTAAAAAGATTAAAATAATATATTGCCTTACTAGTTGTTATCCGATGCTTGTGGTAAATTTCTAGAAATGGTTATGTATCAGTCATCTAATAAATCAGATATTACTGTAAACCCTTTTGGATCCTTTATTCCACGTACATGTTATCACTGTTCACATTTCTCATTGAACTGTTCAAAGACAAGACATAATCTATATGTCATACCATGTATATATATATATATATATATATATAACATTATTGTGCTGATATTTAGAGTAGTTATGTATATATATATATATATATATATTTTATTTAACGCAATCATAGGTTTGAGCGTTGTTTTAAATTTAGACTTGTTTATATTTTTTCATTTGGGCTTGTATTATATTTTCCTTTGGGTTTATATGGTCCGTTCATCCTATTTTGACTTTTCAAAATTCAAGAGTCTATCCTTAATTGAGGTAAATTATATGGCCTTCTAAATTCCGTTTCAATTCCTATCATCACTGAAGAGACATTACTTGTTGAAATCCGGATAGGGTGTACAAATTTTTGCACCTCATGTTTGCGGTATACCATCTTTTCCGTAAGTTTTTTGTTTTCTGTTTGGTATAATATTAAAGATTAAGATTCATTTTGTTACATCTAGTGATCCGTTTATTTGGCAATCGCTAATAGCAGTCAGCAGGTTTTAAAAACTTCCGTTGTTCGACCTGCTAGTCAAATGCGTTTTGTTAAAAAATACTCTTTCACTGTTATGGTCTTTTTGACACTGTTGTTTGTGCTGTATTTAGACCCCTCTTCCAAGAAATTTGTTTTGCATGCACACGTTTAAAAATTGGGGTTTTTAACTAACGCAATCATAGGTTTGAACGTTGTTTTCAATTTGGACGGATTTTTTACCAAACGAGGTTATAAGAAATGGGACATAGATAAGGTATTTGCACGTGCTAACAATAACAGCCGCAATGAGCTATTACAATACAAACAGAACAGGCGCAGCAAAATAGTTTCATTTGTTTTAACATACAATCCCGCCTATACTAACCTTTCACGTTTGATCCATACCAATTGGCAAACTATTGCCAAGCACTCTAAATTATCCAAGATCTCTCCAAAACCTCCTGTCTTAGCTTTTCGGAGATCAGCAAGTCTGAAAGACTTATTTGTGAGAGCTGATGTCTCCTTTAATAAAAGCTGTTCATCTGCAGGGTGATGCAAGTCGTGTGGTAACAGACGATGTCTGACTTTCCAACAAATACTGAATACTCAAACATTTACTTGCCACTCCACCCGGTCTGTGTACACTATATTTTGCAATGTAACTTGCAAAACCCAGAATGTTGTATACCTTCTTCATTGTCGATGTGGCATGCAGTATGTTGGTGAGACAGAACAGCCATTCAACAAACGCATGAATGGTCATCGAAGTGACTACACCTGCAAGCCCGACCTCCCCGTGAGTCGTCATTTCAGATCACCTGGGCACGCCCAAGCTGATCTCAAAAACCTTACCATCAATATCATAGGCCACAACGAGTGTTGGTCAAGGGCCGACAGACTTGTTCGGGAAAGGTTTGGATAAGAAAGCTTTGGACAGTTTCTCCAGGAGGCATAAATGAAAAAAACATAGAATGTGTCACTCATTTTCCCTACCATCACTTGTTTCCAGTAACTCAGGCTTCCGTTTTGGACTCTTACAGGTTTAAGAAATTTATTCCTCCTTCCAAACATCAATATTAAAAAAAAACAAGCGTATTGATTAAGGATAATTTGTACAGCAGATTTTTATTCCAGTTTGACTACCACATGTCAAGATAAGATTCATTTTACATCTTACTGTTGAAGGATATAAGTTATCCGAAATATCTAAAATTTGTTCTTGATTTAATTATTTTTTGGTGATGTTGTACCCTTATTAGACTTGTTATATATTATATTTTGTAGTGTACTGTATCATAATGTTATGATCCATCGCCCCGTAAGATTTATCGTTGGCTATTATTCAGTCATTATATATATATATATATATATATATATATATATATAAGTCTGAAAATTACACCCAACAGTGTTAGAATTAGACTTTTATGCTGACAAATTTTTGTCCCTCAACGGGATTCGAACTCACACCTTTGATACACTACAGCACCAATCGCTTAGCCTCATGTCCAGCGCTCTAGACCACACGACCACATCCGCTATATAAAATATAACTTCAATAGTCGTAGTGTTACCTTGTCACGTAAGGCGAATCTAGAGATAGACATAAGACATGTGTTTTAAGCGTGTGAAGATGTTATATTATTATTTAATACACATATAAAATATATATATATAAGTGCCTATAAATAGCAGCACATGACATACAAATCTATGGGAGTGTGGATTAATCAGTACAGAGATTAATTCAATTACACAAATAAAATTATAGATTACCTAACAATGTAATTTTAACACACTATTTAGTATGTAAATATAAGAAGAGAAAAATTTTTGGATCCACCAACTCCACACTTTAGAACCTGATGGTCTTAACGAAAAAGATGAGAAAAGATACAGGAAAGATAAAAAATAATTTAGTACACAGCATCGTCCTTTTTATCCTGTAATATTGGCCAATGGACGTTGCTAACTTCAACTACCAATTTTGTAAAAATCTTGAACTTCATCCAAATTATGTATTATTTTCAAGGCAGCTAAATTCAAGTGCAACATATACATTGAGCTGCAAAAGTTTCTTATCATCTACATCCGATTTCACCTGGATAGATGCACGCTTGATAAAGCTAGTTAGTCTAGCGAAATATTGCGTTTATTTTCATCATTTTGTAAATATTTTAAACATTCTTATATTTACATACTAATTAGTGTGTTAAAATTACATTGTTAGGCAATCTATATATATATATATATATATACTATGGTAGCCAGAATAGTCTAACGTAATGAGTAATGCTATCAATGCACTTTTGGTTTTTTATGATGTATTTGGTACACCTCCTGCATAGTGTCCAGCTTCTCTTAATAAAATCCATGTATGCATCAGTAACAAAAGAGGGACGAAAGATACCAGAGGGACAGTCAAACTCATGGATCGAAAACAAACTGACAACGTCATGGCCAAAAATAAAAAGACAAACAGACAAATAATAGTACAGATGACACAACATAGAAAACTAAAGACAGTCATAGATAGCAAATAATTGAAAACTTGCAACCTTCTGTATGACAACAATTAGAAATAAAATCATTTCGCAGGGATAATTAAAATGTCTACTAAGTATGGACCAGTAGACAAACTGTGTGTAATATCTATACTTAAACTGCCTTTTGTATGTTTTTCCTACAGATATTCCAATTGTTACAATTGAAAATGCAGTATATAACAGAACATATGGAAACAATGTGACTTTAAAATGCATGATCGATTCTTCTCCATACCACACCCATGTTTACTGGCAACATATATTTAATGAAACAGTATCAAATATAACATCCGATAGTCCCGGTGTGTATGGCTCAACGGTGACAGACCCGTCATTGACTTTATTGCAGGTTTCTTGGAATGAATCCGGACAATACATATGCTTTGCCGTTAATATTGTTGGAAATGGAAAGAGCGAATCAACTGTTTTGATCGTGTTGGGAGGTAAGAGTTTAGATTATTTTATAGAAACGACAAATAGTTGAAAAACGTTTGAAAAGGTTATTTTGATGTCATCCTAAATCAAGGGTACCCTGGTTGTGGAAGCCACATACATGGAAGTAAAAAAATTTAATTCGAATATACACCAACTTGATTTAATGCACGATGAACCAAACATTTAGTAAGAACCGATTAAGTCTTTGTCTCAACATAACATTCGATTCATAATTGAAAATCCACTGTTGAAAGCAGATTTTTTGTAGTGTCTACCCTATATGTGTTTACATGTTATACAGATACTAGGCAATTTTGATTCAAATATAACACCTGTGCATACTGAAAATTCAGTGTTGACCTATACATTTCATTTTTGTTTTTACTGGGTTGTTGTGTTAACAAGGGATAAACAGTGATATTTTTTATGTCTTTCACCATGAACAAAAGAGAAAAGTCGACGAAAGACAGACAACACAAACGACTAAAAGATAAAGAATCGAAAGACAAAATCCAGTTCATCAAGCTGTAGACTGAAAACTAAAGGTTAAGCAACATGAAACCCACTAAACACATGAATGATGCGGCGTTCCAGAAGGATAACCAGTTCGTTTTCTCTCAGGGCATCTGTTACATGAATAATTCAACTATAATTGAATATACGATTTGCAATTAATAAGTCATACAGTGTGAATGACAGAGAGGTCGCAATTTAGGCAACGAGAAGTGAGACATAACTGTTGTCGTTTGTATGTTCTATATTTTTCATTACGGTCAACTGAATAAAAGTCGGTAAAGTTTCTGAGACGGCTTCTTCTTTAACATTTAAACCTCTTTGTTCAAAAGCTATGTCGTAAAAAGATTAATATGATATATTGCCTTACTAGTTGTCATCCGCTGCTTGTGGTCAATTTCTAGAAATGATTTTGTATCAGTCATCTAATAAATCAGACATTACTGTATACCCTTTGGGATCCTTTATTCCAATTACATGTTATCACTGTTCACATTTCTCATTGAATAGTTTAAAGACAGGACATAATCTAAATGTCATACCATGTATATAAATATAGCAATGGTAGCCAGAATACAGTCTAACGTATTGAGTAATGATATCAATGCATTTTTGATTTTTGAGGTGGATATGTTACACATCCTGCACAGTGTCCAGATTCTCAAAATTATATCCATGTATGCTTAAGTAACAACAGTTATAGATAGCAAAGAAGTGAAAACTAGCAAAATTCTGTATGATAACAAATACTAAAGCTGCACGATATTTCATACAATTAGAAATGAAATTATTTTGGAGGGATAATAGAAACGTCTACTAAGTAGGGATCAGTAGATAAATAGTGTGTTTTTCCTCTACATAAACTATCTTTTGCATTTTTTTTCTACAGATATTCCAATTGTTACAATTACAAACGCAGTATATAACAGAACGTATGGAGACAACGTGACTTTAGAATGCAAGATCGATTCTTCTCCAAACCACTCTCATGTATACTGGCAACATATATATAATGAAACAGTATTCAATGTAACATCCGATAGTCCCTTTGTGTATGGCGCTACGGTGACAAACCCATCATTGACTCTACTGCAGCTTTCTTCAGAAGAGTCCGGACACTACATATGCTTTGCTGTTAATATTGTTGGAACTGGAAAGAGCGAACCAACCACTTTGACCATATTAGGGGGTATGTATTTATATTTTTTTCATAGAAACGACTTTAAGTTTGAATGTCGTTTGAAAATATCATTTTGATGCCATCATAAATCAAGGATACAAAGGTCAGTCAAAGTCACATAAATGGAAGGAAAAACAATCAGAATCATATAAACACCAAATGAAGTCAAACGAAGTTTATCGACATACTAATTTCTTTCTCTCAAGTTCAAATCTGTTTTTAAGTAAAAATCCAGTTTTTACTGTGGATTTGTGATAGCTTATACACTATATATTCACATCTTATACAGATAATAGACAATTGGAGATTGACATATAACACACTTGTGTGATTTAAATGTAATGTTCACTTATAAAAGTGTGCGTTTATAGATTTAGAAAGTTTTCAAAAAAGGTTTCAACTCCCTCGAGCAAACGTTGTCTGAGATGAATTTTGCTATTATTTATGCCCTTTTTGTTCATATTACTCTTCAACTGGCTTTGGTCTTGTACATCTTTGGCTTTCAAATATTCGGCTTTTGGCGTTACGGATAAGGTAAAATTCATAAAAGCACTTAGGACGCATGCAATTTATAAAGTGTTGTTTTCATATCTTATACATATTATTTCTGTTTTTGCTGGTTTGTTTTCTTGAAAAAGTATGCAATATAAAATGTTTTGTGTCTATCAAAAGTGACGAAGTACAGACGACACTAATGGGCAAAAGAAATAAGACGAAAAAACAAAGTCCTATTCTCAAAGCTGTAGATATAACCCTCCCTCCCCTAAATAAAACCATGAGTGAAGTGCTGGTTTTCGGAAGGTTAACCCGTTACTTTCCCCTAAGTTGCACTTTTACTGTGCGTAGTTCAAGTTTACACCAAGTTCGGAGTTGTAGTTAGTTAGTTAGTAATTAGAAGGAGGTCGAAATATAGGCTACGACAAGTGATCGTTTTTGTCGTGGTCGTTTTGTGTTAAAGGTAAGACATTCAAATTTGTAAAAAATTTTAAAAGATAACTTCAATTTTAACCAATAAGAACTCTTTGTTAAATAGCTCTGTTGTAAGCAGCTATCATTATTAAAAAGTCATTATATGACACGCAGTTTCTATGGTATTTTATTAACTGGGAGCTTACTGTCTGCTAGAAAGAAATTAAACGTTTGAAATCGAATAATGGAAATGATAAATCGTATTATTAATATTATTAATTCTCATCGAATCTTTGTAGTCAATTTCTAGATATGATTATGTATCTGTCATTATATAAATCAGCTATCACTTTATAAATGTTGTGAGCTTTTATTTCAATGGAAGAAATGCACAAGTATCAAACTGAATTTTTCAAGAGTTGAAACTGCTGTTCAAAATTTGAAGTCGGCGCTGGCATGTTTTACCACTATTTTCTTTTTAAATTATAGAACAGAAAGATCTTGTAGTTAATGTTGAAAAAGACCGATATATTGTGATGTATGGAAGGTCACTCACATTGGAATGTTCAGTCCATACAGCTAGACAGAGTCCTCCAGTTCGTGAGATATATTGGCAGTACAATAATAATGGCGTACTAACTACGATTGTTAAAGATACAGACGGGATATCCGGGAGTTCCATCGAAGTTCCATCACTGACTATTTTGGATGTGACAACATCTGAATCTGGAATTTACATCTGTTTCGCTAAAACTAATAACGGAACGGGACAGAGTAGACCAATAAATGTTACTGTTATAGGAGGTTTATTTTCTATTTAATACTTTTTTGTTTTAGCGCATCTTTTCAGTTTTTGGGGGGTTTCCAATGATCTTATATTTCTCATTTACTTGTGCTTTCCAACCATTTCGGGTCCAGCGCTACTGAGGAGTATTATGTAGACGAAATGCGCGTCTGACGATAAAAATTATAAGCCTGGTATCTATGATGATTATTTGCAGTCATTGTGTCGATGCTGGCGAACGTTTCTGCCTCTAGAGTAGCACCAACCCAGAAGTAAGCACTTCTCTCTTGATATGAAATATCGATGATTAGTTCAATTTCAGTCTATTTTCGGTTTACAAAATGTTGAATTGTTCGACACATTAAGATTGAGCACTCCTCAGGCATAGTTCATCTAAGTCGTATTTGGCATAACTTTTCGGTTTTATTCTTATTTTCAATGTTCATCAATTCCATGTATGTTTTGGCAGTTCAGCTGTTTGAATCAAGCGCCACTGATGCGTCTTATATAAGACGAAATCCGGGTCTCGTGTAAGAAATGATGAGCCCGGTATATTTGAAGATTATTTGTTCTGATATTTGTTTTTTTATTGTGGTCTTTTGTGTTGCAGTTTTCTGTTTGCATTGTGGCATTCAAATTTTGATTTTGTTTTTAATGAAATACATTCGCATGAGACTTTTCATTTGCTGTTCATTTTAGTTAGGTGGGGAGTTTCAGTTTTGCTTTGTTGGGTATGTTGATAATGATACACATCAGGCACAACAGTGACTCATTTTTATACATGAAACTTTTTCTTAGAAATGTAGTTTTTAATACAGAATCGATGAACGAAAATTTATATACTGTTTGGGTACTGTCCATAAAAAGAAACATAAATGATTTTTACGAGACTGCAAATTAAGACGGCAGTGTGTCTATCAATAATTATTGTTATTTAAAATGCAATTTTGGTGTCTCAAACTTGTGTCACACAGGTTGATTTCTTGGAATTTTGAAGAGTTAAAAAATATATACAAATTCCACCACTGCAACAAGTGTGTTACGATATTTATCCAATCGAGACAAATATTTCAATATTTAAAGCCGAGGCTAACCGATCGCGAGCTTTTTAAATAATTTTAATTTAACTGTTGAAAGTAGAGAACATCGTAATACACGAGTTATAACTGCAGTTACGTATATCCAAACAATGTTTCTAGGAAGTTTTTCTTTTGTCGATTTTGTAATAATTATACATTATTCTTCGGTATTTCGTGTCATTTTTAACGTATTACTAAATTTGAAATTGAAATACTTACGGATTTTTTCATAGTTCAACCGCTGAAATGAGAAATCAGCCGTCCAAAAAAGCCATGATATGGGTAACTGAAGAAGATAAATTGTGGTTGATATACGCAATTGGAAATATTGAATTCCGTTACTGATTTTATCCTAAACAATTGTCAGTCTCGTTCGAAATTAAATGAGAGTCTGGTTATCGCGATCGTTATATAAATTTTTCTTGAAAGTCTTTACAACTATTGTGTGAAAATATATCGATCAGGCTACCAAATCTGTATTTCTATAGCCAGCAGCATGACTAGTGAGCTAGAGGAAGGATCTTTGGTAAATAATTTCAGATAATAGAAATACGCTTTTAATAGATAGAAGTAGGTCTAAAAATATGAAATGGGTGGCAACCAAGAAACACATACCGCTAATAAAGAAAAAAAGTAAAATAACAAAAATTACGAAATCCACTGAAAATTCAAAACGGAAAGTACCTTATCAAATGGAAAAATCAAAAACTGAAACAAATCTGTCATATTCCTGACTTGGTACAGGCATTTCCTTGTGTAGAAAATGGTGGATTAAACCTGGTTTTATAGCTATCTAAACTTCTCAAATGTATGACAGTTGTATAAAATTCCATTATATTGACAACAATGTGTGAACAAAACAAACAGACATAATAGGTAAAAATGTCAAAAATGTAGGTACAGCAGTTAACATTGTGTTATAATCTTAATCACAATAAAATAAACAAATATGTCAACAAAGAAAAACAAAATGGCATATAGACAAAGCACATAAGCAAAAATGAAATCAAGAATACAAAAAATCACCTTAGCACAGGAACGCAATTGAGGGATGTATAAGTCCCGAGCCACGCCATAAAGATATTACCAAAACTGGACTAAACAGTAAAGGTTAATAATTTACAAAGACAAATAAATAACACTGTAACACGTAATTAAGATGATAAACAACGTCAGTACCTAGAAGCTATATTTCAAGACCATCATGTATTATTTGTAAAGTTGGTACGGAATATTAATCAACAAGGTCTTAGTATCTTCCGATTAACTTTTTAAAAATAAGGACGAGACGTTCTTTAATATAACTCTGGTTCATCAACATTCTGCTAAGACACTGGCTACGTTTTATGAAGTCTGAGTAGCAGCTGCAAGCTCTTGAATACCGAATGAGTTGGGAAATGTAAATCCCATATGCAGGTGAAGTTGGTATATTGCACAGTTTGTTCCTATAGGAATGCCGACAATTTTTTAAAAAAAATTCTACCTCCAAATTTAACAAATATGTTTTCAATAAGAAACTCAAGCATGCTGATCATTTTTTCCTGTGTAGCATGTATTACTTTTTTGTTCACTATTAATAAAATATGCTGTATGGTATCCCAAAGTAATAAATTCATAGCGTATGCTACCATTTGTATATTGAAAAGCATTAAGGATTATTTCTTTTAGACGATTTTTAATTTCACATGAAAACTGGTGGAATACAGGGTTGAAAAATCAAAAGTTTTGATATAATTATTTCAGAGAAAGATCGAGATTTAAAATTATCTAGAATTTCTTTAGAGTTTTTTAGAATCCACATATGGTTAATATCACTACGCGATCAAACAGTTTCACAGTATTTCTGGTGACACTTTCACTAGTTTTTCAACTTATGATTTCGACGTTTTATCAGAGACCTGATTGTTTTGACCCATTCTGACAAAGTGTCCAATTAAACTTCTTATAGTTTTGCCCATGCTCTGGCGTAGTCCCTAATGGACACGATGATCCACGGATGTGCTGAGACCAATTAAAGGCATGTAAAATATGTAGATCGTATATATCAGATTTCACGGTTATCCTTTTGATTGCATTTGGATAGTTAGCTTGCTCACTTGCAAGTTCTTGAATTGGTATTTTTCATATGTAATGATGATATTGTGTGCATACATTTTTCCGTTTCCGATAATTTCTAACCTTTTGACGACTTTTTGACAGTTCTATTTCCGAAAAAATGCCCGTCCGATCTATTAAATCGAGGATAATGAATGACGGAGAAACAACAAAACTCATCAGTTACGGATATCCTTTTCTTACCGCTTCTTACAGTTACGGATATCAGTCTTTATAGTTACCCATATCATCGCGTTTTTTCGAATGACTGATTTCTCCATTTAGCGGATTAATTCTGAAAACAACCGTTATAATTTCAGTTTCAAATTTAGTAATACGTTAAACAAAAACATGAAATACCAAACAATAATGAATAATTATTACAAAATCGACAAAAGAAATACTTCCTAGAAACATCGTCCGCCATCTTTGGATATACGTAACTGCAGTTACGGATATCACATTTACCCCAATGAGTAATAGTGGTGGAATCTATCATGTTTCTTTATGATTTTATCCTTCCTTTTCAAAAATTTGCAGAAAATTGTGTTCTTTATATGTGACGTCATCAGGCATGGTCGCCTTTTTCATGACGTCACAGTAGGAAATTCAAAAGAAACCAAGAAACTTTGACGTCATAATTAAGTTTCGACCAATCATTTGCCGAGAACAGTTATTTCACTAATGAGGAGAACAGTTTTTTTTTCACAACCAGTTTGGAAACGTGAAACAAATTAAAAAAATAGAAAAACCACATTTCTATTGCAGATGAGCCAATTGTAAACGTAGGAGATACAATTTCTTCAACCAGGTATGGTGAAAATATAACATTATTCTGTAATATAACTGCTAACCCAAAAGTGACACATGTTTACTGGGAGAAAGAAGTAAATGGTACTAAAAACGTCCTAAATAGTTGGACAGTCGGAATCCGGGGCGCTTCTGTAGAAACTCCATCGTTGACTATAATGAAAAGCACTACAGCAGATGCAGGAAATTACAAATGCGTAGCCACAAATGATGTTGGAACAGGAAACAGTGAAACTATTAGTTTAAAAGTGATTGGTAGTAAGTAATAGAAATTGATAAATGTTGTACTTTTATCATATCTGGTTTTCTAGAATAATGAAGAACAATTGTTAAGTAAAATTTTTCTGTGATTTATGTACAATGTACAAGTTTAATTCAAAGCCAATAAATACTGCAAACAATAGATGCAAAACATCCATTGAGTGAATGTTAAACCAACTACCAATAGTTCCTTTTACTGCATCATTTGGTTATTTTTTCACATTTCCTTATTCTGTATAATGATCGTCCCCATGAGCTTTCGATTCTGCCATTTGATTAGGGACTTTCCGTTTTGGATTTTCCTTGGAGTTCGGTATTTTTGTTATTTTACTTTTTTTTACATATTTCAGAGTTGCCAACTGTAAGCGTCACACCAGTTTTGCAACCAGTGAATTATGGTGAATCGGTAAACATTACTTGTGGTGTTAACGCAAACCCACCAGCGACAATTGTTTATTGGGAGAAAAAATCAAATGGTTTCATCAAAGTAATGAATAATGAAACTACTGGTACAGCAGGCATTACAGTTGAAAATCCATCGATGACTTTGTTACATGCAACGGATTCGGATTCGGGATATTATAAATGTTTCGCAGTCAATGAATTTGGACTGGGTTACAGCTCATCTGTAAGACTAACTGTCATTGGAGGTAAATAACATTAAAATTAGTATGTGGAATACTGAAGCACATATTTTGTCTGTTCTAAGAATCAAATGACTTCTTGAAACAACAAACTAGGTTAACAAATTATATCCACAATATGCTTTCTTTATACAGTATGCTTCGTATGACTGTTTGTCGTGTATAGGACACCAAGTCTCAACTTAAACTCAAAGTGGTAATTTAAAAAAAGGGTGGAGGAATATAATCGAAGAAACCGAAATGTGATTGAAGGACCCATGGACAAAGAATGGTGAAAAATGTTAACAAATATTTAATCTTAGATGTGTTCTGCATAGATAAAGCATAAAGTCAAATTTACAGTCATTTTGTGAAATTGTTAAAAGATAATGTTATTTTTTTTTTTTTTTTTTAATTTGTAACATTAAGGTTATATCTGTTTCGGCTGGTGACAAATGTATATTTTATGTTATCATGATTATTTTATTCGCGGGGTATGCTCTTTACACATAAACTGCTTCAACAGAGTTATGGGAAACTCGACTGAAAACTAAATTGCATGAGTGTTACGGTCACCATCAAGAAATTGTTGACCGAGACGATGTGTCGGACCCTCAATTCATTAGAAACATGTTTTTGCGTTCTTATATCTTAAGCTACGTGTATCTGTATTGTCGTCTGAGATGTTATTTCACCCAGTGTGTTTTATTCCGCTTGTGCCCATTAGAATGGTTGTGAATTCTTAAGGGGGTGGTGCATGCATAGCAAGAACCTTATCCTGTCGACGCAACGGTTATCTCTCCTCTTGGTCCATTTCATGCAATGCCCTCAGTTTCTGTTTGTTACCTTTACATGTCTCTTCCTAATCAATTGACAAGAATTGAACATCGTTTCAACTATTGTTGCCCTAATTCCTGCTTTTAAAAATCGGATATACTAAGGCCAACGTAATATCCATGAAATCGCTTTGACTCGGTTATTTGTACGTGTAATTGTCATGTTTTAATTATTAAGGAAGTACACTACTAATTCATGGCCCCATTGCTTTCTATGTTAACTTCCTCAATTTCAAGCAGACACAGCTCTTTTGTTTCAAGTTCAAATAAAGTGATAATCATTGCATGTCAAAGCAACACTTTATGGTGTCTTGTACTGGAAAAATCAACATACCTTTAATTGCATATAAGAAAGAACTGGTTCCCGGAACTTCGGATGTACCAAAACAGGTACTTCAGATCTGACATACAGGCAAAAAGTACCCTCTTTATAAAATTTGGTGCAGTTTTTTTAATATTCAAAATTATAAGTCAAAAAGTGTTCTACAATGATCACCAGTCATTCAGCTTTCATTTGATACCAACAATACCTAAATATTCTACATATTTTGAAAGCTACACTCATGCGTAGGAACTATTTTGTGTTAAATATGTACTACTTTCTGGTATGTGCTTTCTGGCCGAGCCGAATTAGTGGTGTTACACCTATAACAGAACCAAACTTGCTATACTGACTTCAGCATCACTTTATTTCATTCTATGATCTATTTCAAGCAATAAAAAACACATAAAGCTTATGTCCAAATACTATTTTACTAATTTTAAGCTCAAATTGGACTGGTAGTAACATATAGGTTATTCAAAGAAAACTGCATATGGATATTATAAATGGCCAATATACTTATTTTATTCTCAATATCATTGTTGTATTTAATAATTTCTGTTAGGACAACAATGTGCTTACCAATAGTCATAATTTACCAGAGTTTGTTCATTTAATAAAAATATATTAGACCAAACCTAAGACATAATTGAGAAAATTGTCCCCCCTTTTTTCTTCAAATTGGAAAAGGGACATTTTTGGTATAAACCATACTTCTGTGGTACAACATAGATTATAAAGAGCAATTTATATATTTTTCAGCTGGATAACTTACTAAACTGGTTCAAAATTGCATGAACAGTGAGATTTTGGAATTCTTATATGAGTATATACCAATTGCCTAGATTGTAAAAGGCTATCATAAGAAAACCAATAAAACTTGAAAAAATCATAGGATTATTTGACCAAGAGCTATTTTTTTACCATAAACAAGTCATTATATACATGTTTTATTGATTGCAATCCCAAATAATGCAAAAATAAGAATTTGGAGTCAAGTCTTAACTGCATGCATGTTGTGTGACCATAAAAGGCTAAAATACCTGATTATGTCAATTTGAGAGCTGAAATTTCCCATAAACAGAATTGTTCTTCAAAAAAAGATGATTAAACATGTTTACTTACATCAAATATGACTTATTTTCATTGGAATAGGTACAACTTCTAAAAATTGAATTTCTGATGATTCTCTGTAATACGAAGTACACCACTAATTCATGGCCCCATTGCTTTCTATGTTAAATTCCTCAATTTCAAGCAGACACAGCTCTTTTGTTTCAAGTTCAAATAAAGTGACAATCATTGCATGTCAAAGCAACACTTTATGGTGTCTTGTACTGGAAAAATCAACATACCTTTAATGGCATATAAGAAAGAACTGGTTCCCGGAACTTCGGATGTACCAAAACAGGTACTTCAGATCTGACATACAGGCAAAAAGTACCCTCTTTATAAAATTTGGTGCAGTTTTTTTAATATTCAAAATTATAAGTCAAAAAGTGTTCTACAATGATCACCAGTCATTCAGCTTTCATTTGATACCAACAATACCTAAATATTCTACATATTTTGAAAGCTACACTCATGCGTAGGAACTATTTTGTGTTAAATATGTACTACTTTCTGGTATGTGCTTTCTGGCCGAGCCGAATTAGTGGTGTTACACCTTAAGGGGTGTTTAACTTAAAATTTTACTATCTGTCATACTTTATAAAAAATTTACACGAGGCTTCCATATATGTGCCAAGAAACCTATATATCATTTAAACATAAGTGTAATGCATCTATACTTGGTGGACGGAACATTGTGTATTACCCTCATAACAAAAAGAACATCCACCTAACGTATTCGTCATCATATATATGGATGTTATGCATTACCAAATCATTGCGAAACCTAACACATGCTTTCGTACCCATCCAAAATTTTTTGAAGAAGTATATTTTGTTTATTTAGATCTATTCAAATATATTAGTAGCATCCAGGTAATACTTTTTTTCCACCACCCCCTTCATGAAACCAAAACAAATGGACTCGATTTTACAAACAACCTTGTTTGGTCTAACATGACACCTTTTAATTGTGTTCTTAGATATTAGTTCAGTTTTGCCAGCCATTATAATGGGTTTATGTTGTACTTATATTGGGTTAATTGAATGCGTATGATATTAATTACATATTGTGTGTAAGTAATCAAATTATTTCAGAGTATATACAAAGTTTGTTTTGTGTGAATTAGTATAAACTTGTCAACCTTTACACTAGCGTCCCTAAAAAGGCGAATAATGTTTAAAAGGATTACACTTAAGCCACAGAACAGCATATAACAACATGGCACAAAGTATAAACACCATTCACAAAATGCACTACACTGATAATTATAGTAAATATAATCAACAATAGCACCGCTGAAGAACTCAGGGATTATTGACAACCGTCGTTTCGCCTAGGTTAAAACATATAAATAATAAATAGCATTCGAAAATGTCACAATGGAGAAAAGGGTGACTTAATATGACTTAGACATGTGGGAATATATATGTTCCTCTGTGAAATAGTTATGCCATTTCGGACAATTTTGCAGTGTATCTTGATGGTATTTTTGAAACCTTTCAAATGGACGACTTAAACTTCATCATTACAATGCGTTTGTTTAATTGTGTTTTTGTAAATATAAAATATCAGATGAAATATGGCAAGGAACGCAATTAATTGAATCTCGTATGAACTGGTATACGTCTATTACAGATGTAGGCAATCACTGAATGTTGCAACACATGAGAGAAAATATGCTATTTTAGTTTGATTAATTTTGGCAAACGAAGTTACATATGGTTAATGATGCAAAGTTATATCTTTAACCGATGTTCATATCTCACACATCCATTTTAACAATGTTTAATATACAACGTGGACAAACCAAATATAAAGAATTACATGAAACAAAATAACACGAAACCAGGCATACCAGGTGCGTTGACATGATAAGAATCCGAAAGATTTCTTTTAGATATGTAAGGACATGTCCTGTAGATCAAACATCTTTGAAAGTTTCTGGCAATTATATTACAGTTTTGTTGACTATGAACAATTTTGATATTTGAAGTATTAAATCAAACGTTGATATGGTGTAGTCATGTCAGGTTTAGACATTTTCATGAGATGTTCAGAATCCTTGGGGTTTTTGTTCTACAGGGTAAAATATGTTGCCCCATATCACCCATTTTCTCATGTGAGACTGCAACAGCCCATAAAAGATCATTTACCAAAATTAAAGCATACTGTATATTTTTTTTTTCTTATGATTGGAGACCCAAATAATGACAATGCTTAATATAAGGTAAATGTTCGAGTCAGCCTATTCCAGTCATTTTTTAATATTGAATATCTCGAAAAGGAGTTCCATAATCAAGCAATATGTTTAGCTTATTTTGTATCTTAAATAATGATTTTAAGTATAAATTTCAAATTCCAGATTTTTCAAATTTCACCTGACTACATCTTTGAACCTGAAAACTTAGCTTTTATTGTTTCTTGTTTACTAATGTGTGTTTAGCTGTTGTTTTAATTTAGATTTTTGCATTATTGACAATGTGTGTCTTATCTTCCTAAAATGCAACATGTTGGCAGATCTTCCAGAAGATTCTGATTCATCTAAAACGCACATCACATGCAGTTACTTACATGGACTCTTGCATCCTCCGAGGATCATAGACCATTGATGAATTTACTTATACAATATTTTATAACTCGTACTATTAAAGTGCGATAAACCTTTCCATCGGTCTTAAATATATTCACCCATTTTGTTTTTGGTTTTTGTATTTAAGTCTCCGATGATTTTAAAAACTGGAATATCTAGAAGCTTAATATTTCATATTATCGCAGGTCTTCCAGAAGTTTCTGTTCCATCTTTGAAATATCTAACTGGTACTGGTCATACAATATCTATTAGTTGTTTTGTGAAAAATACATCTCCGGAAGTTTCAAAGGTGTACTGGAAAAGATATCTACATGGCTCCTCAACAATAATATCATCCACTTCGATAGGAATTAAAGGAGTTACTGTTGAAAATCCATCATTAATAATTCCATCTGCCATGGAATCGATGACAGGCGAATATACATGTTTTGCTGTTAATTCTGTCGGAACTGGTAGCAGTCTTCCTGCAAAATTGACAGGTAGGAAAATTGATAAAGTGAACAGTTGTCCGCACAAGAGAAATCCATATTTGAGCGTAAAATTAGAGAGTAAGCTCAAACCATAGGCAATTACCTAGACATTAAGTTATTGCCTGATATTTTCCGACTATAAGCTTAACTTATGAAATTTGATGAAGAATATTCAACCTATAGCAAACCATCACTTAGGCAAAAAGTGAACTATGAGATTTTTATTTTATCTTCCAAATTCGCATACATTCGGTGAAATATTTTTGACGTAAAGTAATATTTCAATCATATTTCAAATTTTAATATACATTTATTTAACCGATCTTCAAATTTAAGCATTGTTCGTATTCAAAAGAGAGTTAATTCGTGTTTCCTTTTCATTTTCAAAAAACTAATAAGTTCAAAGCAAGTAACTAGTACTTTAAAATGTGATTTTTAGGTTTTTTCAATAAAATTGATGTTTTCGCAATTGTTGGTGTGCCCATATGCCATATATTGCAATGTGACAATGGTCGTGAACTTACAGCATTGCATATATCAGATTTAAAACTAATTTGGTCAGAACTAGTTATCGTTCATTGGAAGACGGGAAGTGATGATAGTCAAACAGAGATATACTTACAAAGTTGCCAATTGTAATCAAACTCGTCGAGAAACATATGAAGTCTGCTCTAAACAATAGTATTGGACGATCAACAGGTGAAAATGCAAGAAAAACTGGAAATTGTGCAATAGTCGGTGCTTTACCTCCGCAACCTGTAATAACAAATAAATTCAAAACAATTTTCTATTAAGTTTACATGTATTTCAGGAGCATTATTCAATGAGTTTTGATTTCAGTTAAATTGTTCAGGATTGACTTTATTTCATGTTGTTAATATTATAAACTTCAGTACGTTTTGGGTTTTTGAATAACGAGTTTTAAACAATGTTAAAGCTTAATTAAGGTTTTTTTTTATATGCATGCAGTCTCATTTACATTTGAGGAATTAAGATTAATGTCTGTACTTATTTTTATTAGGATGTAAGAATGATGCCTAACATCATTTAGGCTTTAGACTTACAACATAGACGTTAGTTTACTGCAAAGGATTTAAGTTTTATACCTACGTTTGTTTTCTTATTGTTGCTAGCATATACCTCTCATTGTACTGTTAATATCTAATAACAAATACTTTACCACTCAATAAAGATGAATAACTTGTACATTTTAGATTAAAGCATTTTTTGTTTACAATTTGCAACATTAATTTTCCATTCATTCCACTTTTTTCGATACAACAGTTATAAATAAATTCTGTGAATATTTCTTATTTATCACTTGGAGTTTTAATTGCATTCCGAAATATTTTTTAAAACAAAATATTGCTCGTTAAAATTTATATTTTAACACGAAATTTTTCTGTTTTGTAGTTACAACCGGATTTATACCAGTTGTCAACTCTGAGGATTCACATAGTATAAAGAGTAACAGTATGTGTTTTGCCTACCATACTTATAATTACAGTAATATGTTTATGATATATCTGAAAAATATAAATGCATATATAAACAAAGCTACCAGATAACACTAATTGCTAAAAAAATATACAAAAAAAAACACTGTCTATTATTGGAAGCCCTTTCCAGACTGTGCTGAGTAAATCCGAACTCTACATTCCAGTACACGTAAGCTGTTTAAGGAATATTCCAAGATGGTACGAAACACCTTGACTAAAATTAATTTGTTCCGTTTAATTTTCATAATTTTCACAAAATGTTTACTTCGACCCTTTGACAACAATATTAAAATGTACTTTATCGGAAAATTCCATTAGATATATAGTAGTTTGACAAACACTACTTTTGATCATTGAGAAGCTAATATATCCTTAACAATAGAAAGTGATTTATACAGAGTTATCTCCCTGTATTTCATGTACCACGTTAACGCACATAACGGTTTTACTTATTTATCAAATACAAAATCAGTTAAGATATACATTCCGAAACTATTGTAAACAAAGCAGCTACAAGGTATTTTTTTTGTAAATGTAAATTCATAATTCGATCAATTATATTGTGACACATTGAAAACTAAGACAAATTCGTAAACCTTAACGACAGAAAAATCCAAATGTACAGTGATATATAAATATTATTACCGATTAAGCATATTCCAGGGTATTTTAGAGCGGTATTGATCTCTTCAAAATTCTTTGTCTTTGTTCTGTTAGGTTTTTTCTTTACTTACGTTCTCGGCTTGCACTTTATTTATCGAGAAAATGCAACTTTGATATATATGTAAAATGATAAAGATACAAGACTTGTCTGTTGTGTTTTTATTATTTATTAATTATGACCAGGCAAACTGTAATTACGAATCGTGTGTCTGTGTATAAGACATTCATGATATTTTCAAATCATATAATATCCAAACTGTAATATGACTTCCATTGTTACCCCTTTCCTCCAAAAATGAAAATTTAAAAGCGAGTCATGATAGTATTCATATAATATTAATAAGTTTTACAAGGTTTTTTCTGTAATGCATGTAAACCTGCATAATTCTATTGCATTGAAGGTAATACAGTGGTTTCAATAACTATAGCTGCGGTTGGTGCAATAGCTGCAGTAGGATCAGCAATAGTAGCTTGTTGTTCTTATAGGCTTAACCATAGGTCTGGTAAGTTAAATGTATTCAACCTTTGATTACGTAGTAGAGTCATTGTATACGCTCTTACGATAATGATATCATTATGTTTACATAATCATAGTTTGATATAAAAATGGATGCATTGTGATCCTAATTGATATTTTGAAAGCTAATTTGCTATTTTTAAAAGGATGTAGAATTGCAATCATACTGAATATGAAATGATCAAATAAAAGAAGTCCTTGTACGTGAACATGTGTTTGCAAGAAATATGATACTGCGGAACGATAATAACATTAATACAAGTTTTTTATCTTTACTTGGTTTGAAAAGAAGCTACAGTGACCTTGAATTATTATTTTTATTTCATTTTTTTTACATTGATACACGAATCGGAAAAATATATAATCGGAAAATACAGAACATCAATTCTTTGCAGTGCATAAAAGAATTTGACACAGTGTTAACACATATCCTTTTTTTCTTTACTACAATTCATGCTCAAATGTTTTAAGTCAGTCATTCTAGTGCCTCTATAATTAATTTTCGATTGAGACATAGATAATGCATATGTTTAGGTCTCTTCTTGTCGTATAACACATCTAGGGATGTCAAGATTGACTAAATGAAAGACCTACCATAAGAAGCTCTGTACTTAATGTATTCTCATCACTCCAATCTGTATTTTACGCCAAGAGAAACTTTAAAATATGCATTATCTAAATTATATACCGTCAAAACATATTATTTTTGGCAATGATTTGCAGAAATGTATCCTTTGTTAAGGATCACATTAAAGTGGATATTCTGTTCTAATGCGCATATGATTAAATACGCCATGCGGCTCATTTATGATGTGAAATAAAAATCACTAATTAATTTAGATATAAACTTTGGAAATCATTTTGTCTAATAAAAGTAGGAAATAATTGCTTCTGCCTTATAACTCTAAAAAAGAGGATAATTAGAAATAAAACCTCAATTTGCAACAACACACGATAACGATCAAATGAAGTAAAGAATTGAGTAAACTGTAGTTTGAATTTTAAAAACGGAAAATAATGACCTTACACAGGTCATTACACAGGTCTTTACACAGGTTATTCAATGCCTTGCAAAGATATAAGAAGATGTGGTATGAATGCCAATGAGACAACTCTCCATCCAAGTCACAATTTGTAAAAGTAAACCATTATAGGTCAAAGTACGGTCTTCAACACTTGAAGCACATTTCAGTGAAACTTGATGTTGTTCGAGTTGTTTCTCCGAAAGAAAGACTTATCGATCTAACAGAAAATAATTCCATAAAGGTATAAAAAACTACTTTTATTTTTGTTGACTCATAATGCAATTTTTTTTTCTGTATATCATGAAGGGTTCTTTTCCAAAAATTATGATTATTTTGAGAGAAAATATACTTTAAACGTGTTAGCATTTTTTAGAGTGTACATATTTCTTTATTTTATTGATTGCTTTCCTTAGTATTCAAATCATTGAAGTATGGTGATTGTGATGGACACAATTTTCCACTCATCTGTTTTATAAAATCGGCTATCTTTAGAACGATTGGAACACTTTCATCAGATTAAAATTTTCGTTTTATCTGAATATTTCACCCCCCTCTCTCTCTCTCTCTCTCTCTCTCTCTCTCTCTCTCTCTCTCTCTCTCTCTTGTGTACAATTGTTTTGTCTTTTTTTCTTTTTAACCATGGTGTTGTCAGTTTATTTTCGATTTATGAGTTTGAATGTCCCTCTGGTATCTTTTGCCCCTCTTTTACACTTGTGAAACGTTGTGTGCTAAAAACTTTGCTGCATCATAAAAATAAAATGTCGGACTTCTATAATCAAACGATTTGTACTTTTCCGGTGCGTCATTTTATTATAATGAAACAACGATTTAGTAATTTATATGAGGTCAAGGTGACATAGTGAAGGTGGATTCGACTGATCCGTTCGATCTGTCAAACAGATTGTCTGAATTAGTCTGACGGATTAATGACGCAAAATTGACTGTTCGATGACGGATTGTTGACTACAGACTGATCGCTAACACAAATACAGCATATATTCCTATTTTACAAATTGAATCCTGCAAATGTTGGATCAACATTACCTTAACCCTGTTCGTTTTGAAATGTACTTCAAAACGAACTAAGACAATTATTTTCCAATATTTTACTTAAAAAAATGATATTTTGCAGTATTTTGGGGGGAAAACCTATATATATACGCATTGACACATGTGCAAGAATGTCAATTTCAGCGAACAATTCATTATATTAAGTATAAAAATTATTGAAGGCAATATGAAAATAAGAATATCAACACAACCACTGTATTTTAGGCCACTGACTATGGACAGGCACTTGTATTTTTTTTTATCAAAGATGGATGTTTTTAACAATTTTATTATATATTTTTAAAAGATCATTATTATGTTTCTTTTAAATTATCAGTTAAAGTTAATCATAGCACTAGTATTAAAACCATATTAATATAAATACATTTATCAATTAAAAGATAAACATGCCAATCTCGTACCTTTGTGTAAATCGATCCATTACAGCAAATGGCCAAGTAACAGATTTTGTAACGATTTGCATACAACTTTGGCTTGTTAAACTGTAATTGCTACTGAAAATTGAAAAAAAAATAATGCATTAATCTCTTTTATTTTCTAAAATATTACTGATTGAAATCTTTCAAATATGTAAACATTTGTATATAATGCACATACAATCGGCGAAAATGTTCTTAAATTCGTCTTCAAATCACCAAATCTCCAATTTCAAATCCATAGATTTTTCTTAAAAAAAAAAAATTTTATTTTAATACAAAAATTTCCGTTTTAATGATATCAAATAATCATATGATAACCGATCTTGGTTTTTGTATATGTACTGTATTAAACATTCTGTTACGTAGTTGGCAGTGAAAGACATACAAAATCGACGTTTAACGGCCTATAACGCGATGACGTTGCGCTTATTTCGACGTTTTGTGGTATTTTTTTCACATAGATATTTGACGTTTTTCACTACCGACTAAGTAACTGATTGGTGTTAATGCTTTTCCTTTATGCATTTTCGGAATTTTATGGTTTGTCTAATTTGTAAATCTAATACCCTTTTACAATTTTTTTTTAGATTTATAAATAACGCAGCTTTGACATATAAAAACAATAATCCATGTTATGTTACGTATACCATGTGAGTGACTCGTGCTCCTTGGAGTCCCTAGATACACATTTTAAAACAAAGTCAAAATACTTTTAAAAAAAACTAAGTATCTTGACACAAAATATAAATGCAAAGAATTGAAAAGAAAAAAAGAAAAAAATAGATCATTTGCGTAGATCGTTAAATGGCCAGGGTAACGGTGGCATAGCAGGCAAAACAGCCAAGACACTGGTTTAAATATGGAAGCTCGGAACTCATTAACACTGACTTACTTATTTCTAGTACAACAGATAATAAGATTGAATAAAGCTTTTACGAATTATTGTATATAAATCACATAAAACCCACCAAATAATTTTAGTTATAAAATATAGAGATCCCCCTTTTTGGTACGTTAATCGTTATTAACATCGTAGTAAATTAAATAAAACATCTAGGTAAATCATGGCTAGGTTAATTTGCCCAAAGGGGATGCATACATTATAAAATGTACCTGTGTTTCACGGACTGCGGCGTATTTGGTTTTCTCTGTTTATTTGCTTGGTATCTCAGATCATTAGGTCACTGACGTCAATAATTCTACTAATGCAAATGGCGGCGATTGCAACTGTTGACGTTCTGTCAAGTCGGAAAATGGATAACCATTCAAACCTTACACAAATGAAAAAGAAAGGTACTAAAGCGGGAACGTGAGAGTAAACAGACGTTGTGAACTGTCGTTCAGTAAGGGCACCATCCATGGTCAAACAGTGAAGATGAACTCTATATCATTATCCTAAGAGACCTTACTAACAACATGAACAATATTTACATACAATAACAATAAAAGTATATGTAATGTTCATCAAATGTCTTTATATACGCGTTGGCTAACAGTAAACGACGACCGTGAAAGTAGAAGTGAGTGTTTACTGAGTACAAACCTACAGCCTACCCCATAAATCGTAACACTATTAAACAATATATGACGCGTTGCTATATGTATGTTATATAAAAAAAAAGTAATCTATCTACTGACATTTGACATAGGAAACCAGTCAGAGTCCCAACAGCCATCTTCATCAACTGAACTCAATGCATCGACAGGTTTAGTATTTCTACACTTTTGAATGATAGACTAATCTTTGTTTTCAAAGTTTACAAAAGCAAGAATATTTGATACACATATTTATTGAGTTAGAGTTAGATAGCTTTATTGACACCACACAAAAGAATATACATTATCTGTCCACGGGAGTCGATGAAAACATATGTTTCGAATTATTCAACTTTTCGTCAAAGGTAAATTCTCATAAAATCACCTAATCGATGCTAAATGGTCCCAACATAGGTGTGGTGACTAATATTCGTGTTATACCTTGATGGACGCAAACAACAACCAGCGCTATTATAAACTCACCAAAGATGCCAGGTTTAATTTGGTGCACCAGACACAAATTTAGTCTACATCAGATTCGTCAGTGACGCTTTAATCATAACAGTCAATGCATAATCAATAACAAAGATTAGAAGCATTGAAAAGAAGACATTATTTAAGGTAGTGCTCAATTTAGCTAATGTCAAATCTGCCTGTAAGTAGTTAAACGTACGTGTAGCGAATTATTCATTTTATAAACAGTTAGATTTTAATTTACTGTTAGTGAGTTGGTATTAATAAACATTTTAACGAAGTGTAATACTTACAGCAGGTAACGGAGATGTTGAAAACATGAATAACAGTAGACAACAAATACGGTATGTACTTCGAAATATTTGTGCGTTTGATTAGTAGTTTTATAAACAGGAATTTTGAAGTTTTCCTTTTAAAAATCGAATCATTTTTATTTTTCAGGTTCTCTCTATCTACCATAGATTTTACATAAAAAAGTACCAGAAAACTAATTTACTTCGTTTTTATGGCAATCAACGCTGAGTAACATTTGGTGCCATTTGTCTAGTTGTTAAAGTAGTTTTATGGTTTTGATGAGTTTCAGAAAAATCGAAGATCAAGCATGCCAACCCAATGTAAAATAGTTGGTGGTAACAGACAATTGCTATTAACATGCACGATTGTAGTGGCCTATTTTCTCCTGATTCAAAGAGACATTCAAATTCATAAGTCGAAAATAAACTAACAACTCCATAGTATTAAAAAGGACCATAATACAACTAACAGTATACAAAACGCAGCATAGAAAACTAAAGACTGAGCAACCCAAACCCAACCAAAAACCGGTGGTTATCTCTTGTTCTCCGGAAGGGAAAACAAATCCTGCTCCATATGCGACATCCATCGTGCAACACCAATAAAATACGTTGATAATTTGAATCAAGTGATAAGGCATGACAAAAATAGCGGATTGGTAATTGACTATTATCTCACTCTAAGACATCACCAAATTATTAAATCATCGACATAGTAAATAATCTACCCTAACCCTGAAATTTGACTGACTTCGAAAATTCGAATTATTTCAAGACAAAGAATGAATCGTTTTAAACAAAACTAGCGGTGATGTCAGGTGATCCGGAAGGATAATCAAATCCTGAATCTGTAGTATCCTTTTTAAATCCGATGGTATACTTTCAAGAGCAACATGGCTAGTTTCATCTAAACAATGTAAATGACGCAAAAAGTAAAATAATTCAAGTCCCTCATCAGATGGCAAAATCAAAAGCTCAAACACATCAAAGGATGGAAAACAACTATCATATTCCTGACTTGGTACATGCATTTCCTTATGTAGAAAATGGTGGATTAAACCTGGTTTTTAAAGCTAGCTAAACCTCTCGATTGTATAAGAGTCGCATATAATTCCATTACATTGACAACAATATGTGAGCAAACCAAACAGATACTTATTCGAATTCTTCAAATATCTCATATGTTACACTTTGTTGCATGCTGCCATATCAACAATCAACAAAAAGAAGAAGAAAAAAAACAATAAAAATAGGTCGAAAAAGACAAAAACACATTCTTGAACAAAATGGACGAACACACACTAAAAAGTGAAGAAACAAAACACCCGAACTCCAAGAAAAATTCGAAACGGAAAGTCTCATATCAAATTGCAAAATCAAAAGCTAGAACACATCAAAGGAATGGAAAACTACTGTAATATTCCTGACCTATTACAAGCCTTACCTTATTTAGAAAAAAGTGTGGATTAAATCTGGTTTTATAGCTATCTCAACCTCTTGTATGAGTCGCATAAAATTCTATTATATTGTAAACAATGTGTGAACAAATAAAACAGACATAATAGATAAAAATGTTTAAAATAGGGATATAATCTGAATCACTATAAAAAACAAATAAATATTTCAACAAAGAAAACCAAATTGGCACATAGACAAAGCACATAAACATGTCTTACTGTGCTGCGTACAATAGTATGTCTATCAATAATTATAACTTTGCCATATGATAATACTACCTTTCATGTCGCCCATAAATGGTTTCCTCTCTGTTTTATGCAATGTTTATTTCAATTCTGGATATTAACCGAATTGTGAGGTTAACTGAATATCTTTTTTTCTGAAGAGGTGCTTTTGGATTATTTTCTTGGCAATTGTACATAACAACTTATTCTGTTTTACCAGCTTAGTGCACTATGCAATTTCAATAAGCTATAACATTGTCGTGGTCCCAAATATAATGCTTGTTTCGCATTTTTAAACCCCTTATTTCTTAATGATTAAGTAGATCGTATATTTATAAGAGTACTGTGCATGAGCTAATCAATTACAAAGGGTGATTGAAATATCATGTTAATATACATGAACAACATACGTCTGTGTTTCAGTTCCAGTATAAATAACCCCAGACCACCAAGTTCTACAGGTAATATACATACTTTAAGTAAACAATTCTAGCTGATGAGAGAAATTAATTGACTATGCAAAAAAGAAAACAAAACAAGATAAATAACCATAAAAAAACTTTCTGAAACGAATACAATCCACGGATATAATGATCATCAAACTGTTGAATAATTTACTGGAACACAAATTCGAAATGTCTAAGATACACAAAAAAGAGTTACGAGTGAGATGAAATGAATTTGATGAACTGGTTGATTGCAGATGTTCAAATTTTATAAATCCCCATTTACGACAATAGAAATTAAGGTAGAAAATCTGCAATGATTGCATTAAATCGAAAGCAGCGAGATAAGATGCGTCGTAAGATCTAGTGTCTCCTACCTATCCTCCGCCATTGGAATACTCTAGTCATAGGAATCCACAATCAATCCAACATTTTCCATTCGAATAGGTCAAACGAGTATGTTGTGTCTAAGGATTTGTGACAGCAAACAAATCATTTTTTAGTTGAGAAACATACACATGATATCGATCAATCAATGTGTGAAGGTCGTCGTATGACTAAATGTTTGTAATGTCAATTCCATTCTTTCTTCACATTATTCTGTTTGCGTTGGTGTAGTATCAAGAGCACATCTCTATTGATAAACTCTCATGACCTTGGAGTGTATAGAAATGTTTCTTTCCTGAAGACCTTATGATGATAGTAAATATGTAGCACCTTTGTATCGTATCTTATTGGAATTTGATCATATTGCGGACTGATTTGAATTCATTTCGATAAAAAAAAATCATTTTAAACATAACCATCTACCAAACAAGAAGGATAAATAAATATTGACAATTTGTGTGTATTTTACATAACGCCATGTTAAAGTCCGTCGTTGATATGTACCTTGGCAAAACTACAAAATAGTGGAGGAAGGTTCCAAAGGGATATTCAAACTCATCAGTCGAAGATAAACTGACAACGCAATAGTTATAGATGGAAAACGATGAAAATACAAACAACTGTCCACAAAACACAAGGCAAACTAGTGATTGAGCAACACATATCTTATGACATGTATACTGCTAGACATAGGAAGAGCGGTCTGATTTCTACCTAGGTCTTTATCGCGGAAATCGTGCTGAAGGATACCTAAACACAAGGAGCCATTAATAACGCAATAATTTTAATTTTCTCATTGCCGACATTTCATTCTTGATTTGAAACAAACAAATACACACAAATCTAAAGTTTGCATTACAGTTAATATGACTGTATGAATGCTATGCAGTAAATTTGCAGAACCTTTATATCGCTCCGTTTAGAGGTCAAAATAGATATAAGAAGATGTGGTATGAGTGCCAATGAGACAACTCTTCTTCCAAGTCACAATTTGTAAAAGTAAACCATTATAGGTGAAAGTACGGTCTTCAACACGGAGCCTTGGCTCACACCGAACAGCCAGCTATAAAGGGCCCCAAAAATGACTAGTGTAAAACCATTCAAACGGGAAAACCAACGATATAATCTATATAAAAAACGAGAAACGAGAAACAATTATGAACCACATCAACAAACGACAACTACTGAACATCAGGTTCCTGACTAGGACAGGTGCAAACAAATGCAGCGGGTTTAAACGTTTTAATACAATGTAGGTGCCAACCTTCACCCTTACCTGAACCAATAGTGTAACATCACAACATAGAAAGACTATTTTTGGTCAAATGTATAGCTTTCTGTGCATACTTTCGATATCATTTGATGTGGGTTTAGTATAATCCAAGATTTCAAGACGAAAGACAAATTTGTTCAGACTTCAATTATTATTTTAACCGATTAAATAATCAAAAGAAAAGATTTATAAGTCATCCATTCTGCTTCGACATATGCTAAATATTTATTTTTTGATTTCATCATTTACTTTTTTTCTAGGTTCTAGTACTAATGCTAAACGCGATGTATGAGAGAGAGATAAAGACACGGAACACTAGAAAACACTGAACAACTTATGTTTTTTTCATTTGATTTAATGTTTTTCCTGAAAATAGCACTTATAATTTTTTTGAGAGTTTGATTACGCCTTTCACCAGGTAGGCCATAAAAAGACTCTTACAAAGTTTTGATTTGCCTATTTTTTTACCTAATGTCTTTTTTTTTTTAACTTTGGATTTTTCTTATACAAGTGTATCTAATTTGTTAACGTTCCTTTTGTGTACTGTTATGTTATCATTATTAATTGTATATTTGTATATTGTGTGTTGAAATATATATAGATTTACTTTCTAAATTTGCTGCATTATTATTTCAAAACATTATATAAACCATCAATTTAACAATCTCGTAAAGTCCATCTTGTTCCTTTCAATTTATCACCGGATAAGCTATTTTAAATTTATAAGCAACTTTATTGCAAATATTTTCTCCAGAAAAAAATATTAGTTTTCAAATAATGAACTTGTCAAACCCAGTGTGAAAAGGTCAAGGTGCCAGGACCACATTATACATTTACGTAACGATCAGCCTTATAAAAAAGAAGATGTGGTATGATTGCCAATAAGAAAACTCTACAAAGAAATTAACAACTATAGGTCACCGTACGGCATTCAACAATAAGCAAAGCCCATTCCGCATTATCAGCTATAAAAGGTCCAGAAATGACAAATGTAAAACAATTCATACGGGAAAACTAACGGCCTAAATAATTGACAAAAAAATTAACGAAAAACAAATATGTAATACAGCAACAAACGACAACCACTGAATTGCAGGCTCCTGACTTTGGACAGGCACATACATACAGAATGTGGAGGGGTTAAACATGTTAGCGGGATCCAAACCCTCCCCCTGACCTGGGACAGTGGTTAAACAGTACAACATGAAAACGAAATACAAAAAACAGTTGAAAAAGGCTTAACTCATCAGATTGATACAAATAGAATTACATCTAACAAAAACACAGAGAGGACGTGGCCGGGTACTTGTACATCCCAACACCAAAAAGACACTAAGTACAGATCTGAGAGTACTCACAGTTATTGACAGCTGGTTCAAATCCAATAACAACTGATAAAAAAAACATGCATCTAAGACTAAATGATCAATCAGTTCACATCTAACATCCAATGGATTCAATGTAAATACGTCATAAACAGTCAGAGAAAAACATGAATTTGATGCTTATTGCGATATAATACATTTGCCATTGTTATTTTACATGAAACATGTTTTTGTTTTTGTATTTAAAAATTATTTTTAAAACGAGACACATACGCATTTTAATTTCAATAGAATAAAACAAATGTGGTTCATAAGTGTTTTTCGTTTCTCGTTTTTTATATAGATTAGACCGTTAGTTTTCCCGTTTGAATGGTTTTACACTAGTAATTTTTGGGGCCCTTTATAGCTTACTGTTCGGTGTGAGCCAAGGCTCGGTGTTAAAGACCGTACTTTGAGCTATACTGGTTTACTTTTATAAATGTTGACTTGGATGGAGAGTTGTTTCATTGGCACTCATACCACATCTTCTTATATCTATTCACACTTTACAATTGCAACAGGTATTATTGTACAAAATAAAATTCCTTGCCTCCATATCATACTGGATAAAGCAAACACTTTCTTTCTGTTGCAAAATGCGTGATATAACAAAGGTTTTCAATAATAATCCTTTCGATTTTGACGTTACTTATCTTACAATTAAGAGCTAACAAGTAATAATTTTATGATTGAAAAACCCTTTCTTAATAGTTTCAATTTCTATTGCATGAAACCTATTATTTAATGCAATGACATAAATATACTGCTGAGAAAATACGGAAATGATAATCGTTCTTCAACAACATTACGGTCATTCCTATTCTAATGCATCACAAACAGAAATAGTACATTTAAGCTTCTCAAAATTGAAAACTTTAGGATAAAATAAAATTGCTACTTGCTAGTTGTTAATTAAACTGCACAAATAGATGAAACTCTAAAAATATTTATTTTTCACTCTCAATAAGTATCACATGAATACCTGTCCCCAGACTTTTGTATAGAAATTGGGTGTCATTTATCTGAATATGTTTGTTTTAATGAAATTATAACAACGACATAGTTAATAAAATATCAACGTTTTACTCCAATATATAAATTGACTGGTTTATTGAGATGCAGTTATTTTACCACAGATTGTCTCCAGGGAGATAAGTATTCAACAACAATCTGATGATAATCAAGAGTCAACATTAGTTAACAATACTTAAGGCAGGCTAATACATTAGTAAAAAAACAAATTAAATATAAAAGCTGAAAGAACCGCATAAACTCCAATCGATGCGATACCTGGTGCGAGACCTGGTGTGTCGCTTTCTATGCATACTCCACCATGTAAATCGTCATTAAAGAAAGATGTGCCGGCACACATTTGTCCCTGATATTAAACCTGATACAATATACAACGGAATGATTTAAAACGTCATGATTCATATATTTTCCTTTTGGCTTCTTAATGTCTAATTCAAGAAACACTAAATCTTAAAATTTATAAAAAAATGTATAAACCTGAGTTAATTACCCTCAATTGATACACAATTTTTACACAATGCGCTCTCAATTAGTTGTAAACAAAAAACGTAACTTCAAAAATTGAACTACATGGAACCGAAGGCATTCACAATCGATTCCACAAGTTATTAGAGTAAAATTAGATTACTTAAATGATGGTCAAAGCCTTGCCTGATCTTACAAGGCTCGGTGTTAAAGACCGTACTTTGAGCTATACTGGTTTTTTAGTCTTTTAAAAAGCTTGTTATTTTAAAACAGAGTAGCGAACATCCTTAACTTGTGTTAGTGATTTGTTCAAAGTGTTGAAGAGCTGGTAAAACCAAACAAAGGACCAAAAGAATAAACAAATGCATCAAACATGTTTGAGATTAAGCCTTCTGGATTTTTTAATCATGATACGATTTAACTGTTACAAGTTCCTTTGTTTGAATAAGTAAGCAACATATTAGAAACGTGTCACTATATGCAGCATTCTGACATAAAGATAAATTTCCTTTCACATGTTTTTGCATTGCTTTATTATGTGACCTTATAATTATAGTTGACAGGCTGCAAGAAATACTACTTACATTGCGTTGAAGTTACATACGATTCCGAAATTTGAATGGCCAAATCATTCAAAAAGTTATGTTTTAATTCCGTATAAAATACTCTATCTATAACTGCACCTGCTCTTCGTAAAAATATAATAATAGTGCATATAAAAACAAACGAAGGGCATGATTCAGCTCGCAAATCCATGGTCGTATCATACAAATATAATTTAAGTATTTGAATCCTTCTCTTTGTAATTTTATAGGATTGTAAAAGCGTTGAACGTGCGCACATTTTTAATATGAAGCCCTTCCGAATTTTTTTGTTGTACAGATTTGCTTATTTTCTAAACCATAATTTATAAACAAAGCTTCTTTGATGCAATAACAGTTCTTAAAAGGCAAAACAAGTTGTTAGGAAAAGGCACGAAGCTTTAGACAATTTTCGTTGCAACAGATTCTGCTGCAGACTTATTTTTTAAAAAAATAGCCCAATTTGGCAATTTATTTTTCATCTTTAAATACAACACACTGATTAAACAATTTCAAACATGATGGGAGGTGCAACTGCATTTGTTTTGAATTTCAAATTGTTAATATTTTTGTTTGTTTGATAATTTTCCCCACACGTACCCCTTAATTACACATTCCATTTAAATTCAAACTTTTATTGAATACTTGTTACATTCAAGTAACAATACGAATTTTACGGTTCAGCAAACTTTTGGAAATTTAAATTATAAACTCGACCAAATATATAACTATTGATATATAACTTCCTCAATGTCCCAGAGATTTTTATTCTCAATGGCTTTGTTGTAAAAATGCCTTATTAATTACATAAAAGGTAAGAGACAGTACTTCTCTTTATTCATTGTATTTTATTTTTCATTGAACTCTTCAAATCCTGTGTATATACTAATGTTTATATGTGTATGAAAAATAACTTCCGTCCATTTGTTATATCCCGATATTTATATTGATACGCAAATTATACGGTTGTGTCGACATCCAGATGATCTATAACATTTCCACAACACATATATATACGACAGAACGAACGGGGAATTGTTTCTTCTCTAAATTAAAGATTGGAATAAAGTTGTAACAACTTTTACTTTTTACAAATAATACGAATACGTCAGTATAAAACTTACAAGTCTTAAAAATTGATTTACATGGTTTTTGTGTTTGTTTCTCTTTGTTATGTTGTTATGTTGTATTGTTTTTATTTTCTCTTGACAGGTAAAATTGAATGCATTTTGAGTTAACACTTGCTGAACTCTACTATTTTCCTTATACAACTTTCTCATTATTGCTTCTAAATAGGAAAATGGTTAAACAAGCTTTGTTAGTCTTGTTTGTTTGTTTTTTAATTTAAGTTCTATTATATGTTTTGGAGTTTAGTGTGACGTCCATTTTCACTGAACTAGTGCACATTTTTGTTAAGGCGGCAGCTGAAGCCCGCCTCCGGGTGCGGGATTTTCCCGCTGTGTTGAAGACCCATTAGTGGCCTTGGGCTGTTTTCTGCTCTTTGGTCGGGTTGTTGTCTCTTTGACACATTCCCCATTTCCATTCTCAATTTTATTATGCCGATTTCTTGTATTATGATAAGTTTTGAAAGAAACACTCAAGAGTAAGAGCATAAATCAATCCTTTTTTTTGAGTGCAAATTAAGCAAAATATGATCCCAAAAAGGTTGCATTATTTGTATCTGCAGAAGATTAGATCATTTAATAAACAAAATGTATGCGAACAATATGTTTAAAAATCTAGAACCACATACATGATTAAGGCATGTAAAGATAAATTTTACTGAATGTTATAGCTATTTTTTAATCTTTTATTTGGGAAATTACAAAAAGGGTTTGTATGCAACTTATTTATGACCTTAATTGAATTAATATTTTTTTTAAAACCCTTGTGTATATCGTTTCAGGATAAACAAAGAATGGAAACACGTATTATAGTAAGATGTTATATATTATAATATTAGTAAGACACTCTACATTTTTAACATCAGCTGGTCAAAAGGGCCAAAGTGAGCTTTTAAATCCACTTGGTGTCCGTCGTCTGTCGTTCTTCGTCATCCAATAACTTTTATATAAATCTTCTCTGAAAAAGCTGAGCCAAATGAAAACAAACTTGGGCATAATCAACCTAGGTGTATTTGTATAAAATGTGTCCTATGACCCAGCCTTCGATTTGAACCACAATTGTCACTAAGGCTAGAAACTGTAACAATAATTATGAGCAGCAAAAAAGAGAAATTCACTCATGAATTATATTCTGGTCATTAACATTGGAGTGTGGCCATTTATTCAGATTTACATAGACTCGGGTGAGCGACACGGGCTCTTTAGAACCTCTACATACAAAAAATTATTGCTTAGAACCAGTTTTATTTGACTGGATTAGAAATTTCGTATTATAGAAGTAAACGTTATTTTGAGGGATTTCATTATTGTGTAACTTGTCCAATATCATGTAAATCTAAAATGCTCCGTTTCAGATGATCAGTGTTTAATGTTGTTGGGTGCTGTAATATTCGTCTTTTTTTTTGGCATAGACCGTTAAAAGTCTCGTGTGAATTGTTTTACATTTGATCATTTCATAATCTTTATAGATTTCAATATGGTATGCATGGTTAATGCTAAATGTTGAAGGCAATACACGTCATTTGGATTCTGGTTGAAAGCTATCTCATTAACAATTATACTACTCCTCTTATATTTTTCTATTGATAATATTAAGATGAAAATACGAAGGTAGATTTTGAAGCATTTCTCGACATATAAGTATGTCTCAGCCAACAGGTCTTTATTCATAACAACAGCATATATGCATAGTCTGCAGCAGTCCAAAATTTTTTAGCATTTAGTTTGTTTTGAATAAAGATCGAGCCCAAGACCACAACAACAAACAGGAAGAGCTATTCGTTACTACAAGAGCAATCCAAATGAATAACAAATGGATTATGCCAGCAATTGTGTAATGGAGATGTTAACGCGTATATGTGACCGCCGCGGTGTTCTCATGATAGCAAGAGTGCTCGAGTTCATGAGATCGTTACCAGGTTTTGTCAAACAAAGACACATTAAATCTTAAATCTTCTCCACCAAACACTGTACTGGGGATTTATATGTAAACGTATTTATAATAAAGGAAATCAGTGTGTTGGTCAGGAACCAAATCAAAGTATATTCATATTTTCATCGTTCTAAACATGCATGCATTTTTTGCCAACGGGCGCTAAGCAATCACGAATAAATCAATCAACCCATCGTTGTACTTTTGCAATTTATTTTTGCCAGTATACTTCGTCGAAAACTTAACTGAAAAATAGAACACGATCCTTGATCCTTTAATGAACATGCAACTTTATTTTTGTTTCGATGTGCATGTCTTATTAAAAAGTTGGTATCATTCATATGTGCCGAGGTGATGTTAACAATCTATCAATCAATCAATCAATCAATCGTATGTGAACGATTGCACTTTAGGTCGACTCACCATCAATTTGACTGTTGTTTCCTAAATTGTAACAACCACATAATAAAAAGGTTACATGCGATACTTTCATGGTGCAAGCAGATAGATATGGGAGATAGAAACATACGGAATAGTTTTAATTATAGTACAAATGTATATCGCCCGGTTGTTGGTTGAGTTCGTCCTGTTCAGTCTTTAGTTTTCCATGTTCAAACAATTGCGGGTCTTTTGGTCGTATTTCTTGGGGGGGGGGGGGGTCATGGCATTATCAGTTTGTCATCGATTTATGAGTTGGAATATCCCAGAATGAATCAGAGGCGTAAGATACCAATGGGATATTCAACGTTATAAGTCGCAAATAAACTGAAAACGGCATAGGAAAAATAGATAAATACCAAAAGACAAAGAACAGTACACAAAACCACAACATAGAAAACTAAAGACTGAGCAACACGAACCCCACCAATAAAACCGCGGGTTTCGTATACAGGTCACGAAAAGCCTATAGGCTTTTGTTAGTGGCTTTTATCTAAAGAGCATTGTCATTCGGTCGAAGCATCCCTTGTTACAATAATATATTGGTTTTACGTTTCATTTCTTTTCATGTCATTTCCTGTTATTTGAAATATCTTATTTATTATATTAGTTAGGTTTTTGTCTTGCAGGATGATCAGACGAAAGGTGATTCAGACTTTGTTTCTAGTGTTAATCTTCGTCACTTGAGCAAAGAACTAAAATACAATTATTATGACTGTTATACACAACATGAAGGAGGATTTGAATTAATGGACGGACACGCAAAAGTTCTTATTAGATATATGGCAGATAAGATACTGCCAGGAAAAATCATAGAAGCAGGTATTTTATTTTCATGAATAAATAACTACCCATGTACTTACTTTGAAATTACATAGTATAATTAATAATCACCTTTTTATATACTGGCTGCTTTTGGGGGTCATTCAATGCCTGTAAAACCAAATATTAATTTGCCAGTTGCTGGTGTAGATACTTGCTTACTCCTTCATAAGATTCTAAAATCTTTAAATACAATGAATAAGTTAAAACTAATGATGAGAACTTATTTCAAATACAAGACAGTTATTTTTAAATCATGGTAGACAAATACCATCAATCATAAAATAAACGGGCAGTATCTGTTCTTTAGTGGTGGGGGAAAGGGGGGGGGGGTCTTTCCTATTACCTTTTTTGCGGAATTGCCTTTATTTCTCCATACCAGCAAGCTACGCATGCAGCAAGATGATATTTTGTAAATGATGTTCAATTAAGTAGAAAAAAATATTAGTAAAAAGTGATTAAAAGGAATATTTGTTATAACTTGTATGTTGAGCCATTTGTTGTTCATTAATGTTTTTACGTCAATTTTTTTCCGGTGGTGTCGGGTGGTGGTGGTTTGAGAAGTTTATTGGACTATCCAATACTTTTAAATAACTTTGTTAAAGCTTTCATTGTGCTATATAAATATAATAGGTAAAAATAATTTTCGGAGACATATACTAGTACCTGTGTTTAACTATAATCAAATTACTTGAGTGAACTCATAGTTGGACTTATTCCATCTCGATGATTCTCGCAATCTGTATAAATTTACAATTAAAAAGTTAAAGGGTAGATAAATCAAGTATTGTTTATTACTGCACGCACAGAGGGACATAGATTGTGTAAACTCTTCACTGTTCTTTCGATTAATATATTATCCACATCTATTTTAACCAATTATATTATCCCCTTATTATTAAGTAGTTTATATGATATGATTTACAAACGAAAACAGTATGTTTGGGTATTTGTTTGCAGGGATTACCATGTTTGTAATATAGCCATGTTTGTAATATAGGTAGAAAAGGTAGTGTTTTGCAACATTTGAATCTTCAAATCTAGAAGTAAAACACTTTATACATCGAGAATAAGACCTTCGGTAACTATTCCAGTAGTGGAACAAAACCATTGGTATTAACACAAAGTTTATATGTTTCTTTAAAAATCTACATTTGGTACATCCGAAACAAATAAGGTTGTAAGTTGTATTAACATCAAATCCTTATTTTTACTATTTCGTTAGCAATAGATGGGGACAATTCAACTTTAAGCATTTTACATAACTATATATTTTTTTCAAGTTCACACTAATGTCTTTTAACTAGGATTAATACAAAAACACGAATATTTCAAATTTCTTATTGTTTACTGTACGTCTTATTATTAAATGACATGTCGTCCAGGCGATTGCGTGTATGCATTTAAGTTGGTATGCCAACATATTTTTAAAATTTACCGGGTTTGTACCTACATGAGCAACACGACGCGTGCAATTACTGGGTCTCGATCTGCTTACCCTTCTGGAGCATCTAAGATCACCTCCGAGTTTTTTTAACTTTTGTAGGAAGCAGAGCAGAAGGAACCATGACACCTTCCCATGATGGCTTTGGTTATACTCTACAAGCTGACTCCGACTTTATGTATGAAATCGACACAACCGGCTTTCACACTACTATGACTCTTGAGGACACAGAACATCCCGGATTTGTAAATCTCTGCATTGATTCGAAAGAACACCTACCCTATATATTTTTGAATTCAGTACAGGAGAATGAAGTAACAAAATGTATGAGAATATCTCCTTCTAAATTGAAACTTCACTTATCATTAGCGTTTGAAATTCTTATAGCTATGATGAAAAACCAACAGGACAACATAGATCATGATATTTTCGAAGGCTTCAAGACTAGAACAGAAGTCATAGGCCCAGCTGTTAGATTAAAGTGCTTTCCTCAAGAAGAAATATTCGAACCTGAATGCACATTTCTGTTGGGCGAAGAAGACGAATTAGAAGACATGGATTTGCCAAAAAGTTTAAAAGTAAGGGAAATAGACGTAGCCTTAACGATTAGATTTAACGATTGGCCGAAACAGGCATCGGGGTGGTTGACACGTGAACGAAAATGGCCAAACAAGTCATTATTGAAAATTTCAGTAGATGAAGGTTTTCACGTGGTTCCAAAATCAACTACCAAAGACATCACTAACTTTGAATGGAGGCTGTCATTTGCCAGAGTGGACTGTATTTTATTGAAATCCATTGCAAATACCTCACAATGTAAACACTGTTATAGAATTTTCAAGTGTTTCGTCAAGTATCACTTATCTCACCCGAAGCTTGTTTCAACTTACCATTGTAAGACTATTTTCCTTTGGACACTCGAAAGATTTCCGCCGGATACATGGACGGAAGACAATTTAGGCCATAGGTTTCTAGGTCTTCTTGATGGTCTTTTCCATGCACTTGTAATGCGCCAATTACCTCAGTACTACATCCCATCGGATAATTTGCTAAAGAAATGCAACGATAAGACCGATTTTGTGGACACAGTTTGTCAAAAACTGTCCGACATGCGACGACACCCATTCAGTTACATTTATAGATTAGGAACTAACGCGTGGGATGATGAAATGCAAGGTTTCACTATTGAAGAAATGATTCATTGGAATGAGAAACCAGAGAAAGACCGTTATCCAACGTAAGTAGCACACAGTTGAAACAATCCACTTTTCTATTTGTCGTTCGCTGGTGTCCATTGCTCTTCGTATGTCGGTCATTATTCAACTTTTTCAAAATGTTTCTCCCAAGAAACTGTAAGGGGAATTGAAACTTAATTTAATGCACATTTGTCTTTGAATGTCATGTACAATGTTTTATAACACTTACATATGTCAATCTTCCCACCGATTAACCAATATCACCCAACGTGGGTATCAATACTCAATTGGGCGAATGGTTTACAAAAAAAGTAGAAATGATACATGCATACTTCCCTGAAGAATTATGATTAAATCAAATTCAGACATGACTTAAATGATTACGTAAAATAGAAAATGTGCGGGGAGTTCAACACAAACCTCTGATAACTGCTATGAAGGACCACCAAATGATTTGTTTTAGAAAGAATGAAACTCTCGGAATTTCATTTATTATTAATATCTCAGAAAGAAAAGTTAATAATACAATTTTGAATAACTTGTGTTTCTAAGAATGAAGTATGAAATCATGCATTTATTTAGATACAATGGTGAAAATGAAATAATTCTTTATCTTATAATACATAATTCGAAATTATTACTTAGAAGACTTCAAATTTCGTAGAATACAATACGATGGCAAACACGATTAAATAACGGTCAATTCTCAAATACGAATTATAAAGGTGATATCAAGCTTTAAAATCACAATTAACAATGTTCTGCTCAATTCAGAGAGTGAAATTCACATATATTGATGGAATAGCGTTCAAAGTGCTTATATCAAGATTATATGAAGCCAACTATATAAACCAAATAATAAAAAGAAAAACTGTTAACCAAACTGAGAAAATTGAAAGATAATTTTGGTCGAAGTTTGCATGATATATAGACTGCTTATTAGGGAATTATTTTCTTAATGGAAATTGTGTAATAGAAAGAAATGAAACATAACATAACTTAATCTAATCGAATATATATATGTATGACAAATCAACATTTTTATTTTTGTTTCTTTTAGTTCAGAAGAGGACATATTTTATGAAAGAAATAAAGTTACAGAAAACGAATAATAACACAATCATACGGATGTTGTTTTCTTATGTGAAATAGGAGCGCTCAAAATGTCAGACGCATACTTTTATGCATATGGCAGGAGCTATGTTTTACAGAAAGGCAAACCGCATAAAACCAATCGGACCAAAGAATCAAAATGAGGTGCATAACGGCCATGATTAATCAATATAAAGTTCGCATAAAATACTCAGGCTCGTGATGCTAAATCTGAACATTTTTTCTGTAAAAGTTAATAAACGTTGTCTTTTTTTTTCCTTGGAAACATACATTTCTGTCCTTCTTAGACCAAAGAGTGTAATAAACTCCTTTTTTATATCCCCCTTTTTGAAATTTAATCTCGTTATATTGTCTGTGAATGTTTGTTCTATTTATTAAAGGGAAAAGTGCTAAGGTATTCCTATAGATTCGGTCGAGATCAGTAGTCTAAAAAACAAAACATAACAAAAATATTGGAAGGAACCAGTATTAAAAAGGGCTAGACTCAACAGACGAACCCGTCACAGGTTTATTTTTTCAGAGGAAGTTGAGACCTTAACCGGAAGTTTCTATCGATATGTTCTGCTAATTGGTATGTTAATTCCCAAACAGAAATGTGTTTATGAATTTAACAAGATCATATGTGTAGATCAATAAAACTTATCGACAAAAAGCACTAAATGACATAAAGTGTTCAACAATAGACAAATATCTATAGAATAGACTGATTGAGTCTGAAAATGTTTGTAATGTGTTTATCAAACAAATACATGTACCAATGATCTGCCAAACCCAACTCTCAAAATAAACATCCAGTTCTTTATATTGCTCAGAGGACTTACAAAGGGCACAGTAATACAAAGAAAAATATAAAAAGGCACAGGAAAAGCAGTCTCGGTTTTTACACTGATTTCGGAGTTTTATATTTTGAAAAAAAGGAGTTTAGAAAAAAATTTTGGTTATTCTCTTTTTTTTTTGTCTTATATGATTCCGACCATACGTGTATGGTCATGACCATAAAAAAATATTTGAAATTTCAGTGCACAAAAATTTTTTTATTTGACATATGTTTTCAAAAGAGAGACATAAAATTCCAAAAAATCCTTTACATTAGATATGTTAATATGTATACTGTGATTGTGAGCACACTGCTGACATGTTTCTGTGTATGAGGAATTGCTCCAGAATCTGAAATATAAATAACAGCTACTAGATATATTAATTAAGTGTTTAAGTTTAATTTCTGCTTCGATTTTGTTAAATAAACAATTCAAATTATTTATATATTGAAAGTTTCTCAAATAAAAAAAATCGAATTGTTATACAATGTATATTATATATATTTTTTTTTTTTTTCATTTTATGAAATTAATGTTAAAGTATGAACTGCTTAATAGAGGTAACTAATATAGAAATGATGGAAAAGAAATACGGTTCGCCATTTATATGGACCAAACAATTAGAGGAAGATAGCATATTTTTTACTCTAGAGGCAAGACAGAAATCTTCTTTTCCAAATGACGTACCGTCTACTTCGGACAGAAAGTGATGAAAACAAGATACAATTGAAACGGCATAAGAAACAAATGGATTTCGAGTCGCTAGCTTTTGACATGTTCATTAAGAAATGGCGACTTAAAACATGTGATATTTAAGTGCCCAATTGTCGCTCAAAATTTGGAAATATGATTAATAGCAGCTATAATTCATTACCTTATAGGAACAATAAATTACAGCAATATGAACTGTACACTATTGCTAACTCATGATACCCGTGTTAAAGTATTCGGTGAACAGAAAATTGTTGGTTGAGATATGAATGTGAAAACACCTCACACGGTAAATAAAGGCAACAGTAGTATACTGCTGTTCAATAGTCATAAATCGATTTAACTGAAACAAATCCGGGTCACAAACCAAAACCGAGGGAAACACATCAACTATAAGAGGAAAACAACGGAACAACAGCAACACTGAACTGCTACAAAAACAAACGCCAACATACATTGAAACGGACTATTTGATGACAACTGCCATATTCCTTACTTGGTACAGGACATTTTAAGAAACTCGGAACTCTGGTGTTATTAAACGATTAGTTCAATTAACAATTTTGCCCCCTAACTCTTTCATTATGTCAAATTTAAATTTATGAAAAATTTAGAGAGAATTATTTCCCACAAAATTTTCGGTGGCTTATATATCAAAAAACAAGGACATGGACCTTTCATTTTTCTACTCTTTATTTTCTATACTATAAGAAAACAGTCCTATAATGTTATTTTGAAACAGAGAAGCAAACGTCCAGAATAGTTAACGCTACATATGATACCGAAAGAAGAATTGACAATACCTGTGTAACCTTTTCGAATAGTTAACAATATTTGTAATACTTGTTTGGTGTACTTGAAGATACTTTTGTTAGCAAATGGAGTAGTTTACGTATTCGATTATACCTCAAGGAGAAGATGACTAAACATATGAAACTGATTTTTAACAACACGGAATGCATTTCTAGAGGCGGATTTGTATGTAGTTTTAAAGGAAACATCTGATGACCTTTGAATCCCTTATTTTGTAAGATATATGCGTATCCATGGATAACTGATAACGTTAAATTCATGAGTGCATTTTCAGGATTTGGTTTTCTATTTTGTGTTTTGTATACTGATGTTAGTCTTTTGGTCGTTTTTCCTTTTTTTTCATGGTATTGTCAGTTTTGTTATTACTAATGAGTTTGAATATCCCTTTGGTATCTTTCGTTTTTTTTTTTAAAGTACTAGATTATCTATTTGTTTACTTAGATATGGACAAATATTTATACTTTTTCATTTCTAGATAGGATGTACTTACCACAATTAATAACAGCAATCTGGCTTGCTGTTGTTGTTGATGGTGTCGTCGTGGTTGCTGATGCTGTTACTTGAAATTTTGTAGAAGGAAAAGGAATGTTGCTGTTGGTTGATAAAGATGGCTGCACATTAATCGTTTGAGGTGGCATAATAATGTTATTTGAATCTAGTATAATATTGCTGATAGATTGTGGCATATTATTGCTGATAGGTTGCAGCATATTATTGCTGGTTGACCGTAGCATATTATTGCTAGTAGATGGTAGTTCATTACTACTCCACGATACTGGTATTCTATTTACAAAATAACTGGTTGATGGTGAAGGTATATAACTCCTTGCTGGAACCGTGTGACTATTTGATTGAGATGACACAATACGGGTGGAAAAAGTTGCATGATCAAAAGAAGACTGCGGCTGCGCGTAATCGCTGATAGATTGTATTGTATGTTTATGACTAATTGGCATATTATTGCTGAAGAGGTATGGCTCGTAACTAGTAGAACGATATTCGTAGACAGTTTGACTCGGCATTGGTAAAACTGATACGGTCGACTGATGCTGTTCATAACTGCTGAACCGTATCGATGATACAATGTTTGAAGAAAGTGTTATATTATTACTATTGGATGAAAGCAATAATGATCTACTGAACGGAGGTGGTGTTTTACTACTACCAGATTGATAAGCCTGGTCGCTAAACGAATGAAGAACACCGTTTGTTGTTTGTTCCAAAGGATTGCTGAATATGGAGCTGTAAAGAGACGTACCATGATCATGAGTTGCATTTTGTAGTTGTGCAACTGATGTGGTTATTATATATGGCGCGCAGGAATGACAGCAGTCAACGGGTACGAGTCGGCAATCTTTTGGAGCGTTGGCAACCACATCTGTACATGACCAGCCGTTCGAAAATATTGGTCCAAAAACATCTCCATACAAACATGATTCTACAAACAAAAGTTTTTGAGTTTTGAGAAAAATTTTCAGAAGCAGTCGGTTTTGTTTACTCTGTACTCTATGGATTTGTAGGCTTAAAGATTGCCACTTTCTCAAAACATGTCTCCTAATCAAATCCAGAAATAAAGAAATTTAATTTTGTAGTAAAGACCTAACGTGTAAAAACATTTTAAAAATGAGCGATTATTTCATTATATACAGTATAACTAATTGTACAAAGTACTTTTCATGTTTTTACATTCAGATTTTATTTGTGTTCTAGAAAAAAACCCGTTACGTACAAAAATACTTAAATTCCTATGCTGGACATATTTTTTATTGAAATTTGATGATTATTTTATTAGCTATCAGCTTTGCAATCGGGATCCTCTTTATCCAATTTAATATTCGTGACGAAAAATTTATTTCACTTGTCATGATACTGCTATTTTCTTTCTAAACCATTCCGCCGAATTTTTCTGTTTAAAGTTTTACATTTTGAATTAGAATGGCAATAACATATATTTTCTTTTATCTCGAAGATTTGTTAATATATCCATTGAATAAACATTTAAAAAATAGCAAAAGACGATCACATTTCTGTGGAGCAGCGCATTTTCGCTTCGTGCAAAACGTCATTTACTTTCATTTAATATAATGTTATTCAAACATGCATTCAATTCAATGGACCAACATAAAAGCAGTATGGCGAATGTTGATACTGAGTGAAAGAGATAAGATAATTCTTAAAAATAAAATAAAAATAGAGATAAATTGGATTCATTTGCTTTAAATGAAGGAAACATGCCTATTTTGATATTTGAAATTGGCCACAAAAAAAGGGAGCTACAAAAAGACAGTTATAAAAGAGGGACGAAAGATACCAGAGGGACAGTCAAACTCATAGATCGAAAACAAACTGACAACGCCATGGCCAAAAATAAAAAGACAAACAGACAAATAATAGTACAGATGACACAACATAGAAAACTAAAGACTAAGCAACACGAACCCCACCAAAAACTGGGGGTGATCTCAGGTGCTCCGGAAGGGTAAGCAGATCCTGCTCCTCATGTGGCACCCGTCGTGTTGCTTATGTTATTACAAATCCGGTAACTGATTGAATAAGGGGAAAAAGGATGTTTAAACAAGCAAATATTTTAAAATGCTCAATTACAATACATTGCTGTTTTTTGGAAATATCTAAGAGACTTATTCATTAAAAATTGTAAATAAAGTTCCTTGTTTACATTTTATATGTTTATCTGATAATATCAACAATACCAGTTTAACTGCACAAGGTGCGTATTTTGATAATGAATGTCTCTTTTGTGATGCTGGGCCAAACACTAAAAGGATCTAAAATATAGCGAGATCCGGACTGAAACGAGAGAATCGCATGATCTCCAAATAGAGCTAGACCGGGTGCGTCGACATGGTCAGCGTATCCTGCTAAGATCGGTCTAAATAAACAAGAAAAACCCAAGTATTTGTCTTGAATCCTTTAAAGATCCATTGAAAATTGGAGGGACAAAAAGAGAGACCACTTTAGGCTATCAGTCTTATTCTGGAGCATATTACAAATTTAAAAACATTTTATTTGTGTCACATTTTTAATTT